ATGGACTGCAGGTTTTAGTCCTTGACTCCATTTACCAGCGTTCCATTGTGGGTACCTATTTTTGACCCACAGCTGTTTAAAATTATTATTATGCGAATAATATACGGACGCTACGCGGGGTGGAAAGCACTCCTTAGCATTGGTCACGTGTGCATGCACTAGGAGGGTGTAGCCGACCATGCAAATTTGTGGCGACTCCCTTTTCGTGTGGATTTACTTACTGTTCTTGATATGTGTTTCAATTTCTTCTGTTGTTGTTGGTTCTTTTCTGGGTGGCTGTGAGAAACAAAGGCCTTAGTTGCTCACATGACTCACATGTTGAGGATTGAGCAAAGTGGCTTACTTTGGCCGCTTCCTCTGCGAGTGTTCGGGATCTAATTGCATGTCAACGCCGTTCAGCGCGAGAACCTGCCTCGTTGACAGTGGAAGTGGGAGTGAGAATTCCGGCTCCCTCCACTTCCTGTGGAAAAAAGGACAGACATCACCTGGGACCAAAATCCCCCCCCAACCTCTCTCCCTCCACTTGACAGAAAGAACATCGCCTGGAACCCAAAGGAAAACCAAAGGGATGCCCTTCCGAGCCCAACCCCGACTCTCTGCTGCAAGAACCGCGCAGGCGCCTGCGTCCCACGGACTTCTCGGAGCTCAGTTCGGGCGCCGAGGCGCGGGGTTTGGGCCCGTCGCTCATGGAATTTATGGGACCTAACGGCGGATGAGGGGGGTGAAGTGGTTTTGGGCGTGCGTTCCCGGCAAAGAACCACGCTTTTCCTCGTCGTTCCTTGGTTTCTCATGTTTTTGATATGCATCTCAGACTACGACTTATGACAGTTGAGGTGGTTTCAGGTGGTTTTGGGGCTAAGTCATATATCGGAGGGGCTGGGACCTGCTGGTTTGGTGGTGGAAATCATCTTGGGTGACGAACGACAGAGCCCAGAACGTTTCAATCCGATGATTGAGCCTTGTCAGGTTTTTTGGGCGTTCTCTTATTCAGCATGGTGGTTGTGCTAGGGATAGCTTGTTTTGGCTACCGTGCTGCAATGAAAAGGTAAGATTAAGGATTCGGCCCCCCAAAAGGTGCGGCCGCTATTATTGAAATCTTTGCATTGGCTTGTGTCAACCTTAGTACCAGGTTTGGACTCAGGTTGGCTATTGCTTTCTCACGTTTTGGGCTTTGGGCCCCGTTTGGCCAACCAGTTGGGTGTGTCGACCCATGTTCCTAGCCCGATGCCGCCAAACGAATGTCCACTGTGGCCTATCTCCAAGTAGTTGTGGCAGTTTCGCGGGCATGTGGCACAGCGACAGTCGTCTTGTAACACCTGGACTTGGGAACGTTGGGACCCATGAAATTGCCTTGAGTCATCTTACGCCTAATTGTTTTTTGGATTGGGAACCCTTAGCTGTTAATTCAACATCCAAACCAAACAGAGGGCCGATTGAGCATTGCCTTGCCACCCTTGGAGTTGGCGTCAAAAGAGGGATTTGCAATGATTTGCACCAACATGGCCTCGGTTTCCTTTGAACCAGGTGTGTTGAGGTTAACTCAAAAAGCCACACGTCCATTTCTAAGATCGAACCCGAGTGAGTGCCATTCGCAGCACGGGCCTACCATGCTTGGCGTAAAGGGGCTAGATGAGTTGTTTAGAATTCAAGCTTCCTCCAAACATACTTGTGTTGTAGTGTACTTGCTGCAGAAGATGAATGGTCTCCACAAAACCATTGTGACAATACATCGCAGGCTGATAGCTTGATCGGGCTTGTCACCCTCGCTGCAATATTCCTTTTTTGCAACATGTGTGAGAAACACGGAATATGCGTCACCCTCAACAACACTGGAATTTGGTGACGTACCCCCTCGCATTTCTTCATGGTATTTTGGTGAGAAGGGATCTGTTTGCTTGCTTTTACTTTTCTTTTCACTCAGGTAATTGCATGGAAGCTCCCAGCAACTGCAACTAGGCAAATAGTACCGAGTCTTATGTTGTCCGCCCTCTTCAATTGTTTGCCATTCGGGTAGACCATTTTCATAGGATGTTTTTTCGGGTCGATTACTAATGTCAGCTATGGGCTCACACCTCGGCTCAGACCTATGGAGTTCACACCCGATCGAGCTGATTAGAACCCCACCCGTTGTACCGCCCTCGACCTGGTTGCGGGGCTTTTACTATATGGCTGTGGTGGTCAAAACCAATGGGATCCCTTTCTTGGGTAGGTGAATTCACCCATTTTAGGTTACCTATTTTAGTGGTTGGATTGGTAGACGTTCACTGGGGGCGTACTTTTTTGGGATTTTGAAAAGCCCATGGCCATATATCCCTGCGCCCGGCGAGCCCGGCAGGAAGCCATGCGGATGTTCCCCTTCCAGCCGGGAATCCGATGAGCTGTTGGGCGAATCCCTGGTGTCTTGGGCTCCCCATTGCTTTTGGCCCGATTTTTTTGGTGAGTTGCCCTTGGGGTGACGTTTTAAGGGGGGAATGTAGCAATGTAGCAATGTAGGCAAGCCTGTTAAAGCCAACATTTTGGCAGGTTCCCAAAGAATGAGTTTGGAGGGTGGAACCCCTTTAGCCCATAAATCGCTTCGAGGACTTTTATGGACCCAGATCCCAAAAAGCACGACACACATTGTAGCCGGGGACATGGGTCGCACCCGAGATCACTGTAGGCAGACTCACCTTGCTCACTTCTCCGGTCAGAATCGAGACCGGATCTGTTCTTTTGGTGTTCCCATGTTGGATCCTATGTTTGGCGGTTCCAAAAGGTGATCACCTGTGATTTGCAGGCCAAGGGGCAAGAAGTGAGCCTGCCTTGTGTAACTTAAACCTTTTGGGCTTTCCATCATTTCACTTCTAAAGCGGGTCGGCCGGTAGAGCCCGTGACCGTGGTCAATGTTTGTTGTCAAGTGTCCAGAACGTCTAGCTTGGTCCATGTAGTTTTTTGCACCACGTCAATACATGCAGCAACAGGCAAATAAGTTCAAGGCAAAATGGTTCAATCACCCTTTGCCCACATGGGACTCCATCACACTCCAGTTCTGTTGCAGTCTTCCTCAACCTGTTCGGTTCCCTGGGATTGGTTTCAAGGGACCAGGGGAACCATTTGGGAAAGCAAGTTGGTTCGAGGGAAACCACCAAAGCCTAGGGAAACCACCAGTTGGGTTGTGTTCCCCCTCCAGTTTTGTTGGGTTTTACTGCGTTTCCCCATCAGTTTTGTTGGGTAACCACCAGAAAAAGACAAAGACCATGGGAGGTCAGACCGGCCAGACAGAGAGCTGCCGTTTCGAGGGCGGAAAGTTTGGTTCCAGAGGCCCGTGGACCTCCGCAGCGCTTTGCAGAGCCTCCTGCAGCCCAGCGGCCCCGCAGCGGTTGGGGATCCCAAGGTGGATTTCGGGGCATTGGGAGCTGCGGGGTGCTGCGTTTTTTTTTTTTTCACGGATCTATCAACCTCATTGGACCAACCTTGAAGTCAACGGTGTGTCCTGTTGTTGGAGTTGGCAACTGTTTTTGGGCCTTTTTGAAGCACAACCAACCGGAACACCGAAATGCTTTTTGCGGTGGTGGGAAAAATGGTAGCCTTATTTTCCCCTGGTTTCAAAGCAAACCTATCACTGGACCAGTATTTTCACATCCCGACCTCATAGAATGGACCCGCTCCGAGGAGTAAATCACAGATCCTGCTTGAGGCGCTGCCCTTATGCTCTGTTCCACAGGGGAAGCGTCAACATATGCGGGTTTCTTTTAGTTTTCCTTTACCCTCGAAATAGGGAACCTTCAACAAGAGGCAATGCTTTATATATATATATATGATATACTGCCCCCTCATGTTTGAGGCCATATCCTTTTTGGGGTGGTCTCCGGAAATCATATACAGTGAAGCTGGTCGCCTGAAAGGAAGCCACCAGTTGTCTCGCAACAGCGAGTATATTGACCGCATCAGTATGGCCAACAGGGAACCGCCTCAAACGTGATTGGACATGAATCCCCACCTAAATGATGTCCAACATTTCAGGTCCCCACAACACCCAACAGCATAAAAGCCCAACAGCCCACCAGCTTAAAAGCCCAACAGCTTAGAAGCCCCACAGCCCAACAACAGTTGCCCAGCAAAGGCAACAGCCCAACCAAACCATTAACCGCCCAACAGCCACCACAGCCATCACAGCCCAGCGAGTTGGGCTCGTAGGCTTCCTCACCCCGAGGTGATCCTTCGGGGCTTCCCTCTAGAAGCCCCGACCGCCCGGCGCCGGGTGGAGTCCGAGGCGGAACGGGGATCGATGGGATACACGGCCGCGATGTGGCCAGGAACGTAAGGGGCCGGTATATATTCCATTATTTTCCGGGGGGGGTAGTCTTCGCGTCAAGTCCTTGTTAAGGGTGACTCCGGATTCAGCCACGATGTAGCCAGTGTAGGGGTGGTATTTACACCAATTTACCGCAATTTGGGTAGTGGTTTGGGGGTACTGGAAACCATCTTCGCGTTAAGGGTGACCCCGGATTAAGCCACGATGTAATTAGCCAGTAATGTAAGGGCCGGTATACATTCCATTTTTTCCGGGGGGGTAGCGGTTTTGGGGGGACTGGACACCGTCTTGGATTTGAGGGTGATCCAAATTAGTAAATCGTTTATTAATAGGGGGGCGGGGCCCCTCTAATAGTGGTTTGACTCCCCCACCAAACTGGCACCCCCGATTAGTCAGCCAGTTTATTATTCCGGGGTTCCCACTATGTAACGGTGTTGACCAAGAACCAGCAGGACTCCATTCATCAACTTGGCAAACGATAGACAAAACGTTGCGCCAAGTTGGGGGATCCAACCTACACAAAGGAACCACACGCCTGAAGGGACCCCACGAGGAAACCACCATCATGGGGGGCAAACATATTTTGAGAAGCACTCATTCGCTTGGTGGCTCCCAGCGATCCCCTTAGCTTTTTTTGCCTATTAGTGTTCAGTGGTCATTTCCATTTAACAAGAAAGCTAAACTTTTAGCGGGGGATCTGAGAGCAGCCCAGACTGGTGGACAGAATCCTGCACTTAGGATCAATGAAGCTCGATGAAGAACGGGATAAACCACCTACCAACTGATGCAGGATTCTGTGCTCAGTATGAGCTAGTGTTCATGATGGAGAATGGGCCCATGGCGACCTGGCCGGGGCGTCAAACACCTGTAAATGTGTCGTACCTTTGCCAAAAAAGAAGTGTTTTGCCTAGGGTATGCTGAAAGCATCGTGTTTTCTGCAAAAACCTTTTTTTCAAGAAACCCTCTAAGTTGCCTTCTGAGCGTCCCCATGGAATCACCTAGAAGCCGAGGGAGGTTCCTGCAGCAAACCCGTGGAAAGCCCATGGAAAGCCCGTGGAAACCCGTATTTGGACCCGCAGCTGCAACCAAAAGCATTGTGTTTCAGGAAAACATTGTGTTTAGCAACCCGTAGATAAACCATGGACAATGCGTCGAAATTGAATTTCTATGGGCATTCTCTTTGTGTCAATTACGGATCCACTGGTTTGAACCGAAGCTGGTCGCGGCAAAACTGCCTTCGCCGATTGGGGGACTTTTAGAGAGATGGTCGGCGGCTGCATTCAAACACTGGAAAATTGACGAACTGAACACTGTGAACTGCAAACGGGCAAGGGCCACCGGCAATGTGCATGCAAACATGGTCTGCTGAATGAAGTAGAACTGTGGCTTGCAGAAACATGTTGATGTGCTTGATTTTGAACACATTGGGTTTCTAAAGGCTCCTGGTATTCCAGGACCAAGTTCGGTCAACATATCAGCTGGTCCATTTGGGAGGCACATGGGTGACCGACTCGGAAAGTTGAACTGTGCATCTCACCTGCGCTTTGCATTTCAAAGGCCGATCCAGATGTTCACAAGAAAGGGGCCGACTCACCCATTTTCCCATGCCCACCTCATTTCCCCTCCCCCCCCCCCCGAGTTTTTTTTTTCCCGGGAGCTTTCACGTCTTTTTGGGGGTCACCCGCTTTCCTTGGCGGACCAAACCTTTCGGTGGCGCTCGTCGCTGGCCGCTCCTTCGAAGCGTCGCTTCGGCTCGCCACTCGTCAGGCCTCGCTGCTGGGCACCTTGGGCTTGTTGGACGCCCAAGCCTTCGCGTTCCAAGGGGCCGAGGCGATCGGCGCACCGATCGCTGGGCCGCCGGCGCTTGGCGCGAGTCATGTGGGCGGACCCGGAAAAGCTTCCCCAGGAAACATGGGGGAAATCAGACCGGAACTTTGGGGCAACCACATTTTTTGTGAAGGGAATGTGGCGGGTGCAGGTCGCCTTTTGGGGGTTGAAGGCAACCGCGTGATTTCTGAGGTTCCCTTAGTAGGAGACGACACGATTGCGAGATATGTGTCTTTTTATGTGGTTGGACCCCTCAAAATTGTGTTTTTTTTTTCCCCTTTAAGACACCTTTCTCAACGCCATACGCTTCCTTGTTTGTCCAACGCGAATCGAGCGAATCTGACCTGGTTTTCCTCCTTTTGGTCTAATTTTAGTCAAGGTTCCAAACTAAGACTACAACAGTACATAATATTGTCCACAGATTTATCTATATTTATCTACATTGACATGTATTTACAGGCCCCCTTTGGAGCAAGTGAACAACTGGTTGAATACCCACTGGTAGTGGACAATCTCCACCCCACATACTCTCCACAATGGCCTTGCCTTTGAACAGCTGTCTTTGGTGTGATGCTTAAAAGAGGGGAGATATAGGGAAGCCCGAGCTATATGAGTCATGTATGGGACCAATAGTGGACATGGCGCGGGACGAGCAGAAGTCGCAGACAGGGAATTGTGTCACTCTTAGCCGCGGGGTACCCCTAACCAGCAAGAGTGTGTGTGTCAAAATGGAAAACCGCAAGTAAAAGCGTGGTTTTCCTCTCGGTCTTCCTTCAAATGGTTTTCCATTCTACCCTCAAACAGATGCTCAAGTCCAACAAGACCCAGCGATGCCGCCCATGTATCCCGGCAGGCTTTGGTGCGGGACCTCAAGGAGGACTCGGGGAAGCTGTTGCCAATCCGATGATTTGTTCGGATCGTTGCCTGCAGGATTCAACCCCCCAAAGAAACCCACCGGGCGAAGACATAACCACTGTTGTCTTGAGGAGTTGTGTCAACAAGCTACTGAAAAAATGGCAGGTTGCAATAAAGTTTCATGACTTTTTATCGTGATAGCCGGCGGTTGGCTGACTTACTATTGACCTTCTTATTCCTTTCTATGGACCTTCTTATTCCTTTCTATTGACCTTCTTACCCATTTCTATTGACATTCTCATTCCTTCATTCCTTTCCAATCTAGGTGATGCCGCCCTCGGACCGCGTCGATAAGCAAGCTAAAGCTGCTGCTCATAGACTGCAGCGGGACCTGGCGGAGCTGCGGTCTCGTCGATAAGCAAGCTAAAGCTGCTGCTCATAGACTGCAGCGGGACCTGGCGGAGCTGCGGTCTCGGCATTTGGCTACTTGTGACGCCAACTTGGAGTCGGAATTTGAGGTGCGCTTTCAGGATGAACGAATTTACGCGGTGCTATACTTTTTGCTGGCGAAGTTATATTGAGTGGCTTGAACATCCAAGTTGGGGTGTACCCCAATTGATGAGGGAGTTTCTCCTTTCAAGACCCTCCCCCCAGGCACATGCACTTTTGACAATCCGTCAAGCGGCTTACGCGTGTTTGGTTCCTTTCAATGTTTGTTTCCTCCGGGAGACCATTGATTGTTCTGGTGGTCAAGCTTGACCAATCCACATTATCCATTTGCAATTTGAGTGAATGTGTATGTCGCCTCATTAGTTGCAGCATCGTCTTTGTCACAAGTTTTACATACTTTACACAACGCGTGATTTAGTTGCTTTTTTTAAGGATCACACCTTGCAGGGCGCATGTTGGCATTTCAAGGGCTATCAACTTGAATGCGAAGTGCACGTGGGGTCTGCAATGACCCCTGAGCAAAGTAGATCCAATCCAATCTGCGAGCACGCCCGGAGCCAGTCTGGGCCCATCCACCCCGAAGCTTTCAGCTAAATTGAGAAAGGTAAAAAGAGCAGCCCTGGGCCAACGGTTGGGACCATCGGAGGTATCTTTGCCCTTGACCTGGACCAAAATCGGCTTAATTTTTATTTGACGATGCAGGAGGTGAGGCTTTCTGGTTGATGAATAGGGGGTGTTCCCTTTCAGGGATTCATTGATCACTGTTGCCTGAAAAACAAAGATGATGAACAAAGAAGCACGATAATCCAAGGTGTAGGGTTGAGCGACCAAGAACCCAGGCGAACTTATTCATGGCAACCGATAGTCACCTGGTGCTTGTTTTGTTTTAAGAGTGCCGCTGTGATTGGGCAGACTTAGCGGGAAACCAAAGGGAACACCGTCGCCCCATTTTGGCGGGGACCCTCAAGCAAAGACTCGGCGTGAAGCCGCGGCATGCTTTGGGTTTCCGCATATCAGCCCCACTTACTTGGTGGTTCCATGTTGATTGGTGGTCTGGTTGCAGATGCCAAAATGGGTTGGTTTCCTTTTGGCTCCCTTTTCGAAAGCCGCAAACCGAAACACCCTTATAAACCCTCCAACTGCTGGTTTCCTTTCAGGGACTTTCCCGACAGGTTCATTCATTCAAACCACATTCCCCACATCTCTCGCACTCGCAAGAAAAAGGGTGGGACCCCGCATCTGCAGGCCGAAATGGGTTGGCGGTTTTTTCGCTTCCCTTTTCGCAAGCTTCCAACCGAAACCACCCTTATCCAACTGGTGGTTTTCTTGCAGGGAATCCCCAAAACCGGTTCATTCATTCATTCGTTCACTCACTCACTCACTCATTCATTCATTCATTCATTCATTCATTCATTCACTCATTCATTCATTCATTCATTCATTCATTCATTCATTCATTCATTCATTCATTCATTCATTCATTCATTCATTCATTCAGCTACATTCCCTAGATCTCTCGCACCGACAAGAACAAGGGTTCTTGGCCGTTTTCTCTGTTGGCCTTTTTTCGTTCGCAACCTTCCAACAGAAGCCACCCCAAACCGTCTGCAACAAAAACCCGCGGTGCCTCCGCCGAAATTCCGAGCGCCAGGAGGAGGCGCTGACTTGGCACAGGGTGGGCCGCAGCTGGCCCAGCTACGACCCGCCCAGGCGGCTCTTCAGGTGCCGTGGGGCGAAGTCTGTACCGCGAAAAGGAGGGAGCCGTGGCTGTCACGGGGAGTGGTTGGTTTTTGGTTGCGGGTTTTTTTTAAAGCTTGCCTTGAAAAGGACACCATCCAGACAGCTACCACTGTTTACCTTGTTTTGAAGGGAACCTTGGCAAACCATTCGGAAACTGTAAGGGGGTGTTGGTTTGTTTGAGGGTTTGGCCATGTTTTACCCCTGGGAACCATATCAAAAGTCTACAGGGATGCGTTGATTTTTTCGAGGGTACCCTTTCAAAGGGAAACCACCAGGCAAAGTACATGTTTGGGGCTGGCGCCATCATTCTTTTCAGAATGCATTTCCTGAGTAATTTCGTTACCAAATGGAGGGGGTACTTCAAGGCAAACTAAGTCATCATACTTATCATTTGCCAACTCAAAGCAGCATCCTCAGCCCAAATCAGCAGGCTCCCTGTGTTGAAAATGGCTAAGCCTTCAGGGTTGAAGAAATGAAGCTTCGATTCGCCCGTTGTCTTGAGAAAGCTTCTGATTTGCGATAGTGAAAAAGGAATCCACAGCTTCTGATTCACCCACAGGACAATTCACCTGATTTCTACCTCATGTCGACCGTGTCCGACATGCTACGAGTTTCTGGAGTTGAAGACGGTGGATGCCATTCGAAACCAAAGCTGGCCACTGCTTTCAAGCAGTTGTTCGGGGGAAAGTGCCAGAAGGTGTGGCAGCTGTGAAGAATTCACCGGTTTGCCCAAAAACCATGGGTTCTTGGTATTCCGAGCCACCTAAGCTTTCAGATGATGGCATAAATCGAGCCAACGATCTAGAGGCCCGCGGACTCTGGACCCCTTACTCCCGATATCCACAAAAAACTCAGGGCATATTTTGAACCACCCAGTTGTCCATGGGAATTACCTCCTTGGTCAGGGGACTTGCAATCGGAGGCCTGAGAAGGGCGTCCCGGAGTTCGCCTGCGCGCTGTGCTTGCGGGGCCACGACCTCCGCGGCAGCTTCGTGGATTTTAGGCTCCCAGAAAGTCGGAGGTCGCGGGGCTACCCTTCACTGCTCTTGTCAGGTGTTTGTTTCTTCTTTTTTTCCTGATTGCAAAAACAAAGTTTTTCGGCTACCATAGCAAGGGTTGTAAAGTGCCTACTTGGATACTTGGATGTTCAAGCTACTTCGTTCGTGGGTTATAGCCATGGTTATAAGTCAGCCAATTTTCCCAGCAATCTCCGCAGCTCAAACTGACGGTTGGTCAGTGGGGTGTTTTTCTAGGGAACACCCCCCCCATTCAAAGGCCCCCCCCAAACGGTGGTGGTACCGTTTGGTTTGTCTGGAATGGATGTCCAGAGGTGGGAAGGCGACTCAATGCCAACTTTCCACCAATTTGCGTTTGGCTCCGTAAAAAGGCAAGGGTTGTTTTTGGGCTTCCTGTAAAGAAAAGCAACAACAAAAGGTGGTTCCCCAAAGAAAAGGACGCACCTAAATTTGGGAAGGCCATTCCCATGACAAGCAACAAGTTGGACCGCCCTCCTTTGACAGGCTTGCACCGAATACGAGGGCCAAACCCCGCTAGGATATTTCCTTTTGGCTTGCTTCCGGCGAATTGTTCGATGCCAGGGTCTCAGCCATCCTTCCATTGGCGGAAAGGAAGACAAATGTGACATTTAAGGTTTGCCTGTTTGGTTCTCAAGGGCGTCTATCACCACTGGAAGCGTCTTGTTTCGGAGACCCTCCAAAATGTCAGGGCCTTAGCGATCCTTGCAGAACAACAGGGCACCCTCAAACGTTTTTCAGCCGGGCGAAAGCGCAAGTGGGATCTAAGACATGCCGATCCGAGTTCAACTTCTTAACTTACCAATCCAAATAGGGACCCCTACCCAAAGCAAAACGCTAAATGAAGACAATATTTTCTGGTGCTGACCAACTCACTCAGGATTTGGGAGAGGTGAGTAGTTTGTATTCAAGTTGAGTTCAGGGGACAGAGTCAAACACATGATCTCTGGTTGTGGGGGGCAAAAGCTGAGCCAGTACGCATAGGCCGTCAGACCGGGGTGTTCAAAACTATCAATACTCCTTTTGCCGGACAGCGTCCCGCTATGGATTTAGGAGCATCCCAGTGAGAAACAAGAACATTGTTGTGAAAGTTGGTTTTCGGGCTACGTACTTTCTGTGATGCCAAGGAAACCCGTTCAAAGCGATAAAGTCATGCGGGCCCAATTTGGTGTCACAGAAAGGTTATTTCCCGCAACCGATCACCCCATTTTGCAGGATGCCTGGACTCAGAACGGGGGGTCACAAGCGTCTAAGATGATTTTCACTACTGTAGGGCAAAAGGGTGGTATATATATATATATGCACACTTTTTTTGTCTGGCTACATAGTGGCTGTACAGCCTGCAATCTCCAGGAGGTAGTGGGAAGGGCGCAGTGGAAACCATGTCTCACCTTGGGCGGCCCTCGCTCAACATTTCCGCTGAAAAGCCCTGCTAGGAAGCTTCGCGCGGTGGCAGACCCTGAGGAGCGGAAGCGGCTCCCGACGGATGTCCGGTACAAAAAGGGAACCACATGGTTGCGGGAGGGGTTTTCGGGCCAGTCTCCGAGCCAATGGCAACGTTTTGCATGTGCCTGCGCCTGCTGCGTGTCATCGAAGCCGGTCGCCGCGGAGGAATCTTGATAAGCTGTGCTGGGAAGGTTTGCAATTTGCATCAATTTGCAACCTTGCACGGAAGAGAAAAAACATGCAACGCCTGCAAAGCGAGAAGCTGATGCCAGCGTAGCCACCTCTTGCCCAGCAGACGCTGTGATCAAGCTGGTATCACTGTGTGTGTGTGTGATATGAGACGACGGTCCACTTCACAGAACGGGTAATTTCAAGAAAGACCATGTGTGTTTTGGAGAGGGGTTCCTTCACAATAACCCATCAACAAATTGGGGGGAATTTGTTTGCATGGCTTCTACATAAGGTCTACATCTCCCTAGATGAATGCAACTCGGTGCCCTCCTTGTTCCCACTGTTCGAGGGGTATAGGCCCAACATCCAGTTGGGTCCCGCAAAAGGAGGACGTCACTTGTTGGGCTCCACGTTTCTCCGCAGGTTAGGGTTGGACTAGTCGTCGTTCCTTTGGGAGCTTCCCTTGACTCTCCATCTAGAGAATCCTGGTTTCCCTTTGGCTTGCTTTTGGCTCCCCTTTGAAACCCCAAAACGGTGGGCCCAAGGGTTTTCACTACTATGTGCGCAATTTGACGTAGGCAACGTAGTCCTAGCCCATAGTTTTGGGTATAGAACTTTCCCAACCACACCTCCCCCCTAAGCATTTTGACTGTTTCCGGGGTGGTCAAAGTTGGAAACTGGAATTGGTGGTTACTCTTTAACCTACCACTCAAAAGGCCACTGGAGCCACACCCATCAATTTTGTTGTTTTTAGTATTTCCAGAGGGGGTATGCTTGGGGGTTCCTCAATGGGGGTGTGAGTAGACCATTCCAATACTGGATTTTCATGGTGACTCGTGTGTGTGTGTGTGGTGTTGCTTTGGTGCATTTTGCTTGGCTGGTAGGACTTTAACTTTTTGCCAACTAATGGGCATTCCACTAAACCACTAAAGGTTAAACTTTTAGCAGGGGAGCAGAAAGCAACCGAGGTTGTGTGTGTGTCTTTTCAGGCTACCCTTTTGGGGTTGCTTGAAAGGCAAGAGAGGAAGCTGAGGAATCCCGCCAAAACTTTGCGGGTCCAAATCCGATTTAAGACGACCCCTTGGCTTCCCTCGGTTCCACTACTTTGTACGGGTAGAACTATTTTGACACACTCGTGGGATTCAAACCACCAAAAAAGGATGGGGTTGATATGTATTTATAAGCACCTTTGTTTATCCAAAGAAAAAACATCATCTAGGTTTGGTCGCCCGTTATTTTACTGGGCGCACCACTTGTATTTGTTTGGGTCTGAGACATACTTTTGACACATACCGTGCAAGACCAACCCCATAGCAGAACCCCATTTTCAGGCGTTGGCAACTCCCCCCTTTTCCAAATTGAATTGGGGGAGGCTGGGTGACCTCTGGAATTTTCCATGTGTTCCATTTTCCCTGGGAAGAGTCGACTAGGCACCATGGAATTGGGGACTCCCCTTTTCCCGGTAGGGTTGGCGCCGTTGGCGCGGCTTCTTCGCTTCAGGACCTGCAGCTGCTGCAGCAGGAGCCCCTGGCCTTCTTCGACTCCCAGCCTCGCCCCAAGGGAGGCCGTAAGCAAAGACGACGGGCGCTTCGTTTTCGGGGAAGACGCGGAATTTTTAGGGGGCGAAACCGTTCGGAAAAAACGCGCCAGGAAAAAGAAAAAGAAACAAAACGAGAGCCCAAAAGGGAGAAACCCCGCGTTTTTGCGCTTCGGTTCCGAGCGCTTCGGTTCAAGGATAGGGCCGGTCACTGGTAGAACCAACAGTCAATTGGGTGAGCTCGGGCGCCGCTCGGGTGAGCAGCTGAGCAGCGGTCAAGATTCCCCCATTGGCAAAGAGGATGACAGATCACGCTCACCAAAGCATTCGGATATGGGGAATGCCCAGCAAGTCCTCTCGTGCTTCTTTCACTAAGTTCTTGTTTTTATCTTTTTTCGTGGGAGGACACGTAAGGATTGACTGTGGATCATGGTGAGGGTTCGAGGCATCGGCTGTGCGGCGCTGGCCCAAGGTGTATTATGGGCTGTCGCTGGTTTTAGTGGGGGATTTATATCACTTTAGGGGAACACCCCCATAGTAATACACAGGGGGTTGATTCATCCGGGGTCAACATTCGTATACAAAATCCAGTGGACCTGTTGAACAATCGCGGACTTGTGGGCGCCGTACTTACTCCAGTTTTTGGGCATTAGTCATTGTTGGATCTTAGTGGCCGACAAAAGTTTGAATAATTAGGAAGCAAGTAGACATAATGTGCCCATTCAAGGGCGAGCTCACCGATTTGGGGTAAAACAGGACCACCAGCACAAAAATCCTTTACCGAGGGGATTCCTGATGTCAGTTGTTTGAGGCAATGTAACCATTGCACAATATTGCAGAGATATCTCAGCATACCCTTGAGTGGATTGTGTCATATCCCACCAACAGTTTAGCTTGTTGCAAGGGATCAATGTACCACTATATGGGTCTGTCTTTTTTGAGCTTGCCCTCCCACAAAATGACGGCTTTTTGGGGTAAGGGACACCTACAAGCCCTCATTTTGTGGGCCGCCTAGCTTTCGACACGCCCTTATTTAACCCCCATGAAAGCAACCGTTGACCAACATACTGCGATGCCCGCACCCAATCTTTCGCTTCAGAGGCTCGCTTCGGGCAAATCCTTCGCCAATCTTGTCGCGGGAATGCCTGCCGAAAGCCGCGGACAGACGCCAGACCTTCCGCCACGCGAGCCTTTGGTTCGCGCAAGTTGATGGAGAACTGGCTGTGGGTCAAAAATGGGGAAACCCCAAAATGGGTTACCCTGGCAAATGGAAACATGGACTGAAGCCTGCGGTTTTGACCCACAGCCAACTCTTGGGTTTTCTCCTGGGACACTTCCGGCGCCCCAGCGGCCTGGAGATCTTCAGGAGCCCGCGAGATGCGCGCGAGATGTCCTGGAAGTGAGGGCGATGGAAGCACTTGGCAGACACTACCCAGGACCACCGGGAACACAGCAGGGTGTATATATATATATATATATGTATATGTATATATATATGTCTATATGTACATATATATATATATGAACCCCTATGGATTTAATGGTGGTTTGGACCCCCCATAGACGTTTCTTGCCATGGCGCCAGCAGAATTCTCGCACTCCACTTGGAGTTCCCGGGGTGTTTGTGCATGTACAATTGTCTACATATGAGCCACAATCAAAACCCGGGTAGATGAAGTTTAGTAAAGGACACTTCCAACCATAAATCGCTGCGGCCGCCTTCTTAATTCTTTGCATGATTCTGGGATTACGACCATTTTGATTATGACTCATATCCCATGCTTGCGCTGGTTTCTGCCCATTGGAACCTCTCTCTCTCTCTCTCTCCTTGTCGGCTGCTGAGGACGGGGCTCCGTTCAGAGCGGGTCCTTGTGGCAGGGGAGGTGGAGGAGGATGGCAGCGTGACTTGGAGCCGCTTAAGAACTGGTTGCCCAGGAAAAGATGAGGGAACGATGTGTGAGTTTTTTTTTTTTTTTACAGGGTTCCCTGGCCCTATATGTTCCCCTTTGGCCCATTGTTTTTTTTGATGCCCTTTTAGGCCAACTTGAATTGAGTTGTTGTTTGGTGGTGACGTTTTTGGTTTTCCATTAATTAATGATAAGTGAGGCATGGTCAAAACTCCGTCCTTGAGGTTCATAGTTGTGAAGTATTTGGGGTTTAAGGCGGGCCACTTTCTCTGACTCCAAGAGATTCCTATTTGGTTGTTGTGTCAGGGGTTGTTCGTTGTTTTGGGTGCGGTGTTGCTTTGTTGGGGGTTGTTTTGTTGGGGGTTGTTTTGGGTGTGCTGTTATTTTTTTTGGGGTATGCGGAAAGCCCATGTTCAGTTTGCGGCTCATGTGGAATTTTAGGTAAAGGCGCATTATGATGGAGGGAGTAGATTGGCCATCTGAAATGTGGGGTTCTTTCTCACCATTTGCCACGTCCGCCGCCGGCACGCGTCACGCAGGGGTAGGAAAAAGAAGGGCCGCATGCGCCACAGAGGAATCCGATGCGAACTCAGGTCATCATAGCGCACAACTTCAAACAAACTAGCCTTTGTGAACCCTTGCGTAGGGGCAAGGAACTGAGAATCGACATCGAAAATTGGCAAGACACAAATCCAAGGGGAGTCGCCACCGTTTTTAGCCTTGCATCCCAAGGCAGGACACGAAAACGCAAAGGGGTGCCAAAGATTTATACCCAGCTTGACCACTTGGGTTCCAACAAAGGTAGTAAGTTTAAGCATTACCTTTGGGAACTGCCAAGTTTGAGACCTTTTGGGATAGGTTTGCTTTCAGGCTACACGCCACGTTTCTGCTGGGCCGAGCTGCGCTGGTGCCGGTGAACAAGACTCTTTTTGCACTGCAAGTCGAATCCACCTGGGTGTGTCTTTTTAATTCAGGTTGGACCCCCCCGAAATGGATTTTAGTTTCCTTTCGTTTCCCTTGAACACAGACCAAAAGGGGGACCAACTGCAAAAAAGACACCCCCTGCCTATGGCATGACCGCATTGTGCCATGGGCGGGGGCGCAAGTAGCCAGGCCCAGGCGTGGTCGATTGCGGTTTTGGGCGGGCTGCGGTTTTGGGCAGCGTGAGTTTGTCCGGCCCCCACTTGCTTCACCTCACTCCCTGAGTTCCTGGACTTTAAACTGTTTGGGATGACCATTTTAGTGGCAACCATTTTTTTGCTTTTTGCTGGCCACTCCACTCAGAAAGCAAGTCACTGTTCTTTCCACTGTTTGACTTAGTTACCACCACCAAAGCAATGGTTTGGGTTCATAGGTAGCAACAAACGTTGTTTTTTTGCAGCCGCCCACTAAACATGAGAAGAAGCAAACCACTAAACAACTAAAGAAGCATGTACCCCAGGCTTCAACCCCCGTTAAAAGAATGGTTGACCCAATTTGGATGATGACAATCCTTAAACATTGTTGGTTATAGCAAGGGTTGGAACGACCTGTGTGTGTAACCAAGTCGGCTCGGGTTTCGAGCCCTGCTCACCTTGATTTGGAATGGAAACCAACAATCCGATGCCCGGTTTCCGGGTCAGAGATTCCACTCACCAAAGTCCACTGCACGTACCCAGTGATTCCGTTTTACCTCTCTAGGTCACCAACATGGCCGGTTTTTGGTGTGACCGAATCGCCCCTGAGGGTCTTTTGGAACATGGCTCTTCCATGAAACCTAGAAGTGGTGATCGATCTTTTGCTCGGGGGGGCTTGGAGCAACCAAGGAGTTGCCCTTCTTCAACTGAAAGCGAAATTGGCTACTTTGCCTTTGTTCCCATTTGTATTCCCAGACCTCAAGCGGCGCCCATTGGTCCACCGTTTTTTTTGGGGGGCAAGGGTTTCCCGACATCAACGAACCAGAAGCCAGGGTGCCCATGTTCCCCCCCTTTAATCCGGGAAGGGGTTTTGCTTTAACATCAACCCAAAGAGGGCGCTCCTGGTCGTTCTTTTTGCAACTCCACCGGGGGCCGCTGGGCAGATCTTCCATGGTAGGTGGCGCCGGCGCCGGATGCGGCCATCACCGCAGAGAACCAGCGGCTCAAGAAGGAGGCGGTGAGATGTCCGATCAAAAGGTCGGGAAGTAAAGGTTCTGGCTCCAATCATGGAAGCTGACAGGAGGGTTTTGGACGACTTTGCTGTTCTTTGTTTGGGGGGAGGCTCCTATCCACTTCCATAGTTGCCTCCTGTCACTCCTGTTTGTTAACATGCAATCCGACAGAGGCTCCATTTTAAAATAAAATGGCCTGCGAGGACCCCGAAACGTCAGGTTCCGTGTTGGTGGGCAGCACAAGCGAAGGTTGGAAAGCCGAATGCCAGATGGGCACTAAGGCCACTTGTGTGCGTCGCTTGTTGCAGGGGGTCAATGACCTTAAGTCGACAATCCCAACGTGGGGAAGTCGAGATTTCCCTTCCTCCAATCATGGAAGCTGATTCATTCTATATTATGGTGTTTTTGTTCTGTTGTTTCAGGGGGGGAGATATGTGCCCAATGTTCATTGTTTACCATGGACCTCCATTGTAAAAACGTTTGATCATGACTGGGAGTCATCACCTCTTGGGTCAACTTGAAGCGAGTCAGGAAACCCACCCCAGTGGGCTGCGATGTGTTCAAACCTTCGTGAAGATCCACTGGGTTCGTTTCCTCGCCTCCGCGAAGACTCTTGGAAGACTCTTGGAAGACTCTTGGAAGATGACTTGGAAGATGAAGTGGAAGAAGAGCGAGTTTCTTTGGACGACCAGCAAGTTTCCGGACTTGGTATCTTTCAAACATGTTGGTTTGGACGTGAGTTTGGCCAATCCACTCACACTTAGTAGGGGTCCAGCTCTTTTCCCGGGTCCTCCTTCCTGGTTTGCGAATCTTAGATCAACTTCCGCACCTCTTAACTTGCCATTGAGTTCACCTCTAGGGGGTTCAAACCATATTCAACCATCATTCGTTTGTAAACAGACCTACAGTGGTTCTTGTTAAGGGGTCGCTATAACATATTCCTGGGGGTGTTTCTTTTGTATGACCCTTAAAAAATGGGGTCTACGACAAACAAGAGGTCATGACCATAGGCGTCCTTAGGTTAGAAGAAGATGGCCATTGACCTGGTTGCTTCTGCTAGGGATACCCATCTTTTTACCAAAATGACAGCTATGGTCCGTCATCGAGACTCCAGGGTCCACAAGCCGTTCTCCCGGGTTTCCGGTCTCATGGCAAGATCACGCAAAACTCGTTTCACCAGAGTGGAAAGCAAAAGGGAAGTGGCACCAGCAAATGGAAGGTGCATGCTTTTCTGCCTTTCTTTGGTTTTATTTGGGGTTATGAACCAGAACACCCCAGTCAGCAAGTTTGTGGCCTAGAGTTCCCGAGCTGTACGGTTTTTCGAGAAGTCTCGTGCCCAGCAAATATCGATCGGCCAATTATATATGTCTGCCCTCTGAACCCTGCGTCTCGCCCAGGGTGAGAACCCAGTGTTCGAAGGTGCCGCTTTTGCCGCGCAGCCAACTCCCTGCCCATTTTACATGGTCAGGTCCACCGGCTAGGTGCCCTTTTACCAACTTTTTTGGTTGGGAGGGTTCCCCTACTAAAATAGACTACAGAAGAAAAGATAACGTTATTTTCACCTCTCTGCTGGAGGACATAGTGGTTGTACTACCTTGCACAAGGATTATGGCATGGCAAGGCCTATCTTCTTCTTTTTCGCCGAGAGTCTGCGGCTTACTCCGCCTCCACTCCTGACCCAGGCCTGTCTAACCTTTGTAACCATCTTGGTAGAACCACCTCCTTTTCCAGACCCCCAAGCCTGTAAACCTTTACACGCATCTTAGACCCACAAGGCGAACAAAAGTGGTCAGGCCTATATAACGTATTATATAAGCCCATCCTATCAGAACTAAACATCATATACACCTTTGCATCCATCATAGTAGAGCCAAAAACTGGTAAGGCATAAATACATATATATATATTATCTGTATAACCATCTTAGACCCAACAGTGGACGGGTGCTCGGGCGCAGATCGATGCTGCGCTGAAGCGGGCGGAGGAGGCAGAGGCCAAGCAAAAGGCCGGCGGCCGAGTCATTCTGCCAGTCATACCGACCAACTGCATGAAAAACACACAATGGAGTAATAGCCCTCAAGGTCTCACTTTTTGAGTTCCTGGATTTGAAAAGACTTATTAGGAAGACCATGTTAGGAAGACCTCTAGGAAGACCACTTGTTAGGACAAGCCCTGGCCATAAATTGCTGCGGATAGCCGCCTTCTGAATTCTTGAAGCATGGTGCTGGGTAGACCTTTTTAATACCGGGTTTCGTTTGTGACTCATTTGACACCAGCGGGGTGCGAGCCGTTAACAGGGTAGCGAAGCATTTTTTCAGAGCCGACAAAACACATGTTTGGAGGGGGCGAATGGAGACCTGCTCGATCCCACGGGGTTTTTCTTTTCCTACTCGGGTCAACGAACGGGGATGAACCTTTGGCATGAAACCCTTGTAGTGAAGCATCAACTACCTACAGTATGGCTTGCTTATGGGAAGCCAAGCCACCAAGCAACCCCGAACGTTGCGGTTGCATATGGTTGGTTGCATATGGTTGGTCACCTCGACCAACGGTGCATTATTTTTCTGTTTTTTTTTCTGGCGTTTGGGGGAGCTTCTTTGAGGGTTGTTTGGTTTTTTGCAATCCAAAGAAGGGGAAGGCGTTGTTTTTTCCTTGTGAAATCTACCAGGATCGATCCAGGGTGACAGCCTTCCCTTTGAACTGGCTCACTTCCCAAGTTGTTCGTGTGTGCGTGTGTTTGCCTCCTTCATGCCGAGCTCGAATTGTACAACGAGCTCAACATGATGACCCCTCTCTTGTGATTTTTAGGTTTTGATTTGTAACATTTACAGATGTGGGTTTCTCAAAACTCTGGTCCCCTACCAATAATTGTTGTTCTGTTTGTTTCCCTTGAAATAACAACCAAACGGGGTTTACCATGTTAAGAAACTCCCTTCAGCGCGACTGGAAAAGAACGGTGAGGACAGTGCTTGGTACCGTTTGAAAACTCTTTGCCCTCGCCTAAATTCTAAACTTATGATGGCTAGTAGAGATTTAAACTGTGGTTGAACGTTGACATACGTTGAGGATAGCGTGATATCGTGAGCCTCCCCCGGAGCCCCATTGCGCTGGGCTGACTGATGTGACCCGACTCTTGTGGTGTTCGGAAATGCTGGTCCCACTTGCCCGCTTCACGCATTCACCTGGCAGTTGCAGATGATGGTGCAAAACAGGAGCGTCCATGTATTGTGCAATTAACCCTCAAAACAGTTCGGCAATGACAGAACAACAAAGAACAACAAGAATCAGCTGGGACTTGGGAGGCGATTAATGGCCCTTTCAGGGGTGCAACAAAAGGGGTGATGGTAGCCCACAGTTTGTTGCAAAAGCTGCTATTTGCAGCTGGTGCATTGTAGGACCGTGTTTTAGCGCGTAGTTGCTGGACTATGAAGGTCGGGAATCCCTTTTTGCTTGTTGCTGTCGTCCCCCCGGGGCTATCTTGAACGTTTTCGTTGAACCATTGTGTATATGATAATGGTCTTACCTCTAAAAACACACACACACACAACTGTTCAACTTTTTGGGTAACATGGGCTATATATCTGTAAAAGATTAACTTCCCCAGGGCTTGGAGTTTTAAGGGGTAAGTGGTTTATCACTAAACTGTAGCAATCAAAACATCAAACAGGGTCAACCCCGAAATCCAATCAAAGAGTCTGTGACCCCACTGCCGGATGGCCTCAGTTAGGGAAAGCTTCAAGCGAAGCCAGCCCAACGGACAGGGAAATTTGCCTGCCAGAGCCGCCAAAAAGCACGTCGCCTCCTGTCGCTGATTGGCTTATGAGTGCCCGCGCTGAAAATGTGTCCAGTTTCCTCTAAAAGAAACAGGGCTCCTTAAAAGATACATTTTGCAACCATTTGAAACATGTTGCTTTTTCAACACCAACATAAAGGCCAACCACCATTGACAAGGCAATGTTCAGGTGTATAATGCAAGGATCCCTGAGAAACCAAGAAGGTATCCTATGACTGCACGTCAGTAAGTATTCCTGTAGATGGTTTCTTCGACATAAATTTACTGGTTCTCTTTGGGAAGTTCATATTTTGGAATAAAGCGTTTGGGATCCCCTTGAATGAATCCACAGGAGATGGTCACGGGTCATTTCTCACCCCAATTGGTTGTCGTTCTTTTTTGGGGAGATACCGAAAGGAAACCACCTATCAGTTTCTCTCTCTTTTGTTGGGGTTGTCTCTTTTGTTTTTTGTTGTTGTTTTTTTTTTGGGGGGGGGGCGTCATCGGGAGTCTCCTTTTTGACACATACCCAACCCCAATAAAGCCAGGTAGCCCTACCTACTAAAGCCTCCGACAGGAAGCAGCTGCCAAGGGCGAAGCCACTGAAAAGCTCAACGCCGCAGCTCGATCGAAACCTGCGCCAGAGGCCGTTTCAAAGGCTATGGTCGACTCCTCACTTCTGGAGTTCCTGGACTTGAGTCACTTTTTGGGTTTGGACCATGTGGCCCAAAAAACCGGAATTCCAAAATGGATTCCTGGCAAGCTTTGAAATCAAGGGAAACGGCCCAGTTTTTGGAAAGAACGATGAGGGAAAAGAATGGAAAAGGAATCAACCCTTAGACAATTCATAATTTCCTCTGGAGAGTTTCTTTGTAAGAGACCAGGCGCTTGGCAGTGGCCCGCTTTGGCCCATGGGAGAGACGTGTTGGGGGTTTTCTGGGCGCTTTCCCTGGCTATAAGCAGACTTGGAGAACCTTTTCTGGCTGTCCTTGTGGTTCCTCTCTGCGACTGATCGTCCTGTTGCTTTTTCGAAGGGGGTGATGTTGGCCCACTTTGTGGTTTGGAGCCTTTGCCAAGATCTTGTGCCATGAAGGCCTGCACAAGGTCCATTTGATCCTTTCGAGAACAGTTGTCCCACGAAACAGACAGAATCATCTAAGGGTTGATTCCTTTCCATTCTTTGCAACCTGTTGTTTCTTCCTTTTTTTCTTCCGAAAACCGGCCGCGTCCACGGGTTTCCGGAGGTTTTCTAGTTAAGAAGGATCTCTGGAAAGAATGGGGAAGATAGCACTACAAATCAGGGTCCCCCTTAGGTCTCTTGGTCTGAGATTCTTCCCTATCACCCCCAGAAAAGCCATCCGCTTGTAAAGCCTACAGTTTGTCCTCGGGTCGCTGGAGAGGGGACTGACCCTTGGAGAAAAAAACACACGGGGCCCATCGGGGCCCCTTCCAGATTTCTCCCCCCCCCCCATTCTCCATGCTTTTGTGGTTCGAAGCGGCACCTTTTGATGTTTCTTGTTTGAAAACCGCCAGGGTTGCCCCGCAAAGAGACTGTGACTTACAAATGTGGTCCCCCTTTGAGCTTTTTAAGGGGGGACCACAAAGGCTACCCATCATTTTCGGGGTCGGATGTTTTTATTCGAGCAGCCCCCGAAAGGTTGTGAAAGGCAACAAGACGTGGCTACCGAGGAGCTGCAAGATGCTGCGAAAGACAGCAACGCGAGGCTGCGCTGCCAACAAGACGTTTGCTTTGCCCAGACATGCCAGTTTCCATGACAGGTTTTGAGTAACCACTTGGGTATCCCACGCTAGACTATGTTGCTTTGCCAGTTCAGTGCTTGTAGTTGCAGCTGGTGGTTGGAAGGGAGCCGTTACGGAGCTGGCTGAGTATCGAATTTTGTCTTTCAAGAGGCAGCTGCGGGAGCTGCCAAGAGTTCTGCAAGGACACAGTATGGCCAAAGCAGGTTTACCATGGTTTTCCCTGGCTACATACTATGCAATTGAACTGGAAGCGCTGGGTTTGTTCGGTGAATCTGGAATATGAAAGGTTTCCCGCGGCGTTTGGCTTGGAGCTCAGAGAGACTAAATTTATTCCAAGATGGTTCCACGAAACCACTACCCCAATGGCACAGCACGGTAGACACACCTTATGCAGTGGTGTACAGTTGTTGCCCTTGCGTGTTGGCTTGGGGATGGTGCAGACACGTGGAAAGCCATCCGTACTGTTCGAAACTCTGTTTGTAGCTCAGCTGGGGAAGGTCTGGTTGATCAGTATCGCCGCTGCCTCAAGAAGCTTACATGAAGCCCAGAAAAGATAACGTGTGCCTGTAGCAACCTGGGGCACTGATCCCAGCCACCGAAACCCCCAACAACTCTGCGGATAGGGCCGGTCCATCCAAACCTACTAACTGCTGCCTGCATAGTCACGTGCACAAGTCGGGAACCTTCAAGCAGCCTACGTTAATCACAACGCCTCACTCCCTGAGTTCCTGGACTTTATTCCTTTTGGGAAGACCATGTTAGTTGTAAACAAAAAGCTTTAACTTTCCTTGGCCAATCCACTCAGGAAGTGAGAAGCTGGCAACCCTAAAGTTGCTCTTTGGAATCAGCGTCCTATCCTGAAATCCCACATTGCTTTACACCTCACCCGAGTCACTGAGCCGAAGAGACCTATGGGTACATGAACCACACCTTGGTTCACAGTTAACAATCCCCAACTTACCAACAGATGGGTGTTTCTCACAGTTAGGGACCCCTCCAAAGAGCATGTTGCACCCCCAAGTTGCTTCAATACGGCTGGCATACTTTCGGCCAACCCAAACACCCCGAAGTCATCGCTCTGCATATTTTTGCTCGTTCGTTCGCCAGGAACGAGCGTGCCAAGGCACTGGCACAAGCGGAGCTTGTGAACATGGCCAAGGCAGGGCCGGAAATATGCCTCAATTCAAATTGATTCAACCAAAAGGAGAAGGGGCGGCTGGGGTAGGGCCGGTCTTTACCCGACAAGAACGAAGACCAGAGTTGCGTCGCAAAAGTGCAGAAAACAACGCACAAACACATTTAGCTCGGTTGCCACTTTCCGTGATACAAAGGGAAATCCCCACAACGTAATGATTTCACCACTTTCATAGTCACCCCCGAGTGGTAGGTTGAAGGAAAACCACCAATTCCAGAATCTCACTTTGGTCCCTGTGGGTCCTGGCCGATGCTCTTGTGATATTTCCTTGGCTTACAAGTTCCAAGCCGAAATCGACGGCAAAGCCCCTCAGTACAACGCTTGCCTTGGCTTCCTAATGCTCCACCCTTCGGTTTTGGGAGCAAAATAACTGCCAATCAAAAGATGGGGCCGCCGCCCCCCAGACGCACGGTGCACTAATCTCCTTCCATTTGTTTCGGAGTGCGGATGTTTCGAGATCACACGGACGGTTTTGTCTGGTTCACAGTGAGGGCCTCTCCGAAAGTTTCACATAATATGCCTCCGTGTGTGTGTGTGTGCCCAAGAAGCTGCACAATGATATACATATATATATATATATATATACTCTGTATAGCTTGTATATGCTCTCACATGCACGACTATGCAAAGCCTATATATGGGTGTCTCTCAAACTGAAAGGGGTTTCCCTTTAGATACAAACCAAAAGGGGTCCAACATGCTGAGCAAATATCCTATGGGTGTGTTTGGATTTTGCGGGCGCCTGTTTGTTTGTGGTTATTAACGGCAAGCCAAAAGAACAACCGCCATTTTGGGGGTCCCCTAACAAAGAAATAAATAATTCAATACATTAAATAAATCAATAAATAAATCAATAAATAACAAAATAAATATCAGAATGAACATCTATATATGTATACGCATATATGTGTATGTATACAACAACGTACTATTACGCCGCGTAGGTGTGGCGTGCGCAGCGGGCCGTCGAGGAGTGCAAGGGCATCCGCGAGGCGCCTCGAATTGAACTTTCATCGGGGGCGACAGCTAGGTGCCCTTTTACCAACTTTTGGGGAGGGTTCCCCCACTAAAATAGACAACAGAAAAAAAGGGTACCCTTATTCTAACCTCTCTACTGGAGGACCTAGAAACCATGCACCAAGCCTTGTTTGTTGGGCATCAAGAGGTAAGATCTATATAAGCCTATCCCATTAGAACCAAAAGTTATAACCTTCTTAGAACCCCAACTTGCTGGTGCTCAGAAAATGAGGAACTCTGTTTTGTGTGGCTGGTTGATCAAATGATGTTCCGTTTCCCCCACAAAACTTGCTGGTGCTCAGAAAATGAGGGAATGACCCTCATAATCCATCTCTGGTAGTTTCCTGTAAGGGAGTCCCCAGGTTCGTTCCCTCATTCCCTACTTCCACAAGCAAGTTAATCCACTTCCTATGTTCCTGGACTTCACACTGAACATGGGCTGGGCATTTCAACTTGTTGAGGGGGACTTTGTTTATACTAAAATGGGCTAGGCCGTGTCATTTCTTTTTGGAGGGCGTTCGCTGTGAATCAGCTGGTTCTGGTCACAGTAGAGTGCCCTTGTTGGCTGACTTATGACCAGGGGTTAGAACCCTTTAACTCACTTCCTCAGTTCCTTATACTTGCTGGCGTTGGACCAGTTTAGTTGCAAACACAAATTTGGACGTGTTTGCCAATCCACACGGGAAATGAATCAATTGAACTACCAAAATCAGGTGCCCATTTTCCCCTGAGCATTCGAGGTGCGGTTAGTGCCATCCTTCAAGTTAACCCCTGAAAGGAACAGTTGAAGAAACACGGCCCCAAGAAATGTGTGAAACTCTCACAAAGAGGATCAACAATATTCTGAGTGGCGAAGTCTACACAACATAGATTCCCGCCTGTAGACTGGTAGCTGATGCATGTTGATAGTGCAGTATACCAAGATAGTCTTCAAGTCAAGGACTTACATATTCAAGCTGGGATAAGAACAGTTAGCCGCGAACTGATGATTCCATTTGTTGTATAGTTCAGATTGTGCCTTCAGTTATCGGTTTCAAATCCAAGTCAATCCCAACGACTAGTCACCAGTTTCCCACCTCCGCGTTTCCCAGACCTGCTGGTTAGTTGTTGTAGTTGGTCAAACTCAGTTTGTCAAACAGTGGTATTGGCTAGAATCAGTTTGTCTGCACAGTGGCCTAAAACAGCCTTTGCAATCAGTTCAGCAGGTCTCAACAATCGCCCGAGTCCCGCAGCCAGGCAATGTGTGAGGTTTTCTGTGTTTCTTCTTGAAACCCAAAGCCATGATTTGGAAGTTGGCCTGATAGGAAGCGTTGTTCAGAAAGTATTCAAGTTGCTTACTAGTATCATCATCATTAAGTAGTAGCAACAGCAGTAGTAGCAGTGGTATTTGTCCTCTTCTCAGGATTCATTATGAATTGTTATAGATGCACATAGTCAAGTAGTCTCATGTCAAAAGGGGTAGTGAACTGATAGTGGATTTGACCAACTGGATTGACCAACTATCTGGGCTAAAGAAATTCCTCCGTGGGATACAAGAGTTATGGGTGTTCGAAATGTCACTTTCCAGGGATGGAACATCCGGCCATCCCAGTTGTGGCGAGATGGTGTATGTTTCTTCGCATTTGCAAACCGCATCTGCAAACATGTTCACCCTTGATTCGACGAACTAGTGGTTTCACATACAGGGCTATAAACGACTACTAGCATGTGTTCTGCAATGGCTTAAACGTGGAGAAAAATCGCGCACCGCACACACAACCCCCTTCATCAGCCCCTATCTTCACCAAAGGTCGCGGGTTCCCACGTCTCACCCGCAGGTGTCTCAGGCTCGCTTGGAGTTCTGGCGTGACGCCCTCAGCACTGCGGAGGCCAAGCGCCAGGACTTTCCCTCGCCCGAGAGAAATCCTCCGATCCGGAGGGCACAGGCATGGGTCAAAGTCACCCACCTCTTTCAACAGCGAATTATGTTGTTGTGGTAGATAGTATTGTTTTGTCGCAAACAACATGAAACGTCATCATGCTGGGCGGGTTGGCACGTACTTTTGTGTGCAAAGAACCTCCAACACCAAAGATCAGCATCTCGGCGTTTTGCCTGTCCGTGGCCCAAGGCCTGTGGCCAGGGTCGTCATTCGGGGTTGGCTCTCGTGTCTTATGTTGAGGGTACCACTGTTGGGGGGGTGGTTTTTGTTTAGGGAAGCCAAAAGGAGAACAACCAATTGTGTTTTGGGGGGGCCTAACAAAAAGACACACCCATGTTTCCGTTTAAATCAGTTTAATCATGATTGTTTGCCGCAAACCCGCTCCCAATTGTTTAGGCCTAGCCAATGATTCTTGATATGTCCCAGAAGGAAAACAAAAGGCAATGGACTTTTTTCTCAGGAGCTACAGGACATTATGCAGGACATGTCTGTTTTTGTCGGGTATTTGGCAAATTTCCTGAAATGCCTGCTGATCCACTTAACTGCTAACATTTAAGTGGTTGCTCCCCTTCCCACGTCAACCAAGACGAGAAAAACACAACATTTGGGGGGGAGGGGAGTCCTACCTCGAGAACGGGACGCCCATTTCGCACTTACTTCGTCTCGCAGGACATGGAGACCAGCCACTCCGAGGCGAGCAGGGTCCGAGACTCCGCCGCCGAGGCGGGTGGATGGTCCTGGGAAAGGGTTTCTTGGTTCCTTTGCTTCCCAAATGAACACGGCAAGCCCCCAAAAAGAGGGGTCCATGTCCCAAATGGAGTTTTTCAGATTGTGGTTTTTGGGGTTCCATGCTGATCGGGGGAGTATGGCCTCTCTCCCACGTTGCCATGGCAGGGACATGATCCCAAGAGGAAACCGATCTTCCAGGTACCCGGCACCCATGGCATGGCACCGTGGGAGGAAGGGTAGCCAGTTTCATGATGTTTGGCAAACTGTCAGGTCAACCCAATCCTGAAGTGACCCCTTTGGTCCGAAAAAGACCCTTCTTGGCTGTGTGCAATAGTCCCTTGTTCTGGGTCGTGGCGCATTCCCTTGTTCAGGTAAGCCTGAGCTGATGGTTTGGATCTCTGGATTTGAACCTGTGGCGGTTGAAGAGGCTAAGTGGGAAAGCCAACAAACCAACAAACCGCCAATGCAAACCACCAATCGGAAAAACACCGGGTGTGTGTCAAAATCGGGGAACGCTGAAGACGATGGCTTCGGTGGTCCATTTGGGTTTTCCTAAACCAACCTAAAAAGATACACTTTGTTCTCTATCTGACTGCGCCCCACTAAAACTAGACGTGAAGCAAAGTAGACTTAAGACCAAAGTCGATTTGATTGTTGAGTTTCCCTTTGGGACCACAAATAGCGGTTGAAGCGTTAGCGCCCAACTCTGGGGTCATTATTTTGGCTGGGATTTTTCAAAGTCGGACAACGACGGGGTGACCCTTAACCTACCTGTCTTTTTACCCTTGATTGTTTCCTCCCTAGTGAACTTGCCACTTGGGGCGTGACTTTGGTACTCCAGCAAGATTCACAAAAAAGCCTTCGATCAGAGGTGGGTGGGAAGAAATTGATTTCTTCGCATCGGCGGATCCGTTGGGAAGAAACAGAACCCTGGGCGGGTTGCGCCGGCTTGGGCTTGATGTTTTGACCAGTCCCGCGGAGACTCCTTGGGGCCCTCCCTGAAAAGTTCCCAGGACCTGTCATGGTTCAGGTGAGTGTGGAGGGTAAGTCTACCTTGAGACAATCAAGCAATGTAAGCAAGCTACCAGCCAGACGAAGGTGTCAAAATGGGATTGTTTGGACCTGGGCAGTTGCAAGACCATCCGGGACCAAGAAATGAGCAGAATCCTATCCAAACGAAACCTTCATGCCAAAAAGCCCCCAAGCCCCCCAAGCCCCCCAAGCCCCCCAAGCCCCCCAAGCCCCCCAAGCCCCCCAAGCCCCCCAAGCCCCCCAAGCCCCCCAAGCCCCCCAAGCCCCCCAAGCCCCCCAAGCCCCCCAAGCCCCCTAAGCCCCCTAAGCCCCGAGTCTCAAGGAACCGCACCGGTTCGACCAGACCTCCAGTACTCTTTTGTCTTTGGAGGCGCTTTCCCTGAAAATCAGTGGCCCTGTGTTTCAGCTCCATCCAAAGGCGACAGGTTTTTCCTTCCCCTTGGTTTCAGAAGGACCGGGAGTGATTTTGTGGAAGGGGACCCTTTCCTATTTGTGGGTGGGGGAAAAATGTATGGAACCCATTTGCGGGCACAAGGGACACAATGCATGGCACGGGGGGCTCCTACGTTTTCCGCACTTCCGGGCCGCGCCTTGCCACGAAGCTGTCAGGTGGCACAAGATGCCGCGCGGGTGGCGGAAGAGGCTGAGAGCCAACTAGCGCAGGCGCAGGCGCGTTTGCGGGTGATGCGATTGGAGCCATGGCCCGTTGAGGAAGATGGGGAGCTACCTCAGATCGGTCTCTGAGTAGTGCCCTCAACCCTTTTTGGGGGAAGGGTTCCCCTTCTAAAATGGACTACAGAAATCAAGCGTATCCTTGTTCCAACCTCTCTACTGGAGGACCTAGTCATTGCTGTGTCTCATTTCCCAAGCTCCTGGACCTTCGTCACTCTTTTCGAGGAAAGACTGTTTTCTTGTGGGGCGGTCAAAGAGTTTGGAGTTGTTTGAGAAGTCCACTCGAGAAGTGAGTGGGCATATTCTTGGGGCGGGTGGGGGGGTGGGGAATGCTCTGTTACTGTTTCCCACCAACAGATCCAGATTTGCATGTCCGCCATGGCGGCATGGGTTGAGTTCTCCTAGTTTAAACCAGTTCCCACTTGGCGGGCTTCACATTCGACGGCTGCCACCGGGCCCGGCTGGTCGCAGTTCAAGGCGTGCGACACGGCACGAATGTGTGAGCTTTCGTCGCCATCTTTCTCGAATCACTTCCTCTTTGGCAATGGCGGAAGGGTGAACTCCGGCCTTTACAAGCTTCGGGGCCGTAAGTCTGGATGCGGACACAGCAGTTTTCTTTGCTCGACGCTGACTTTCCGATGCCACGGTGCTGGCAGTTACTTGCGTGCCTGTGCCGGTGTTTGGGCAAGTGGTTGGAAGGCCCTTATTTAGGGGCTGGAGTAAAAATGGAAACCCAAAGGACACCACATGCGCTTTTTGTTTGGCCGGGGTGCATATTGCAAGGTACCCATGCCCCAGGATGATACATCTTGATTTTGCAGATCGCCCAGCCTTTCACACCGGTAACCAACACCAGTGCCTATAAGAAACTGAAGGTCACCAAAGAAAGCGCAAGGGCTGCGGCTGTCAACCCAAACCTGGGGTTCAGTTGCCACCATTAAGACAATTGGGGTTCACACAACCACCATTGTTTTCCTAAGGATTGTCATCATCCAATTTGGGTCAACCTTTCGTTTTATGGCGGTTGAACCCTAGGGCCAACAAGCAAACAGTGCATACATACCCCAGAAAACCACCCCGTGCCCGTGCTTCCGATTGGCGTTTCTTCACAAAAGAAAGGCAAGCAGTCGGGGTTCTTACCTCTATCTTTTGCATGGTTTCCCTTGGTTACTGAAAACACTGGGCAATGCAAGTAGGGGGCACGGCATTCACACGATTAAGGGACCACAAGGATCCGTTGTTTTGACCTGGGTCAAAAATCCAAACTTGTGACGTTGCAATTGGCAGAGCAGCGATCCACCAAAAAACATCTTGCACTTATTCCTGGCCACTCAGAAGCTATGTCCATCACCTTGGCACAAATCCATTTGAGCTTCTCGGTTCTGTCCAAAACGGGGCTTGAGCAAACCTGTCTCGAATGCAATCAACCCGATTCCGTGGAAAAGATCTGGAAGAATCAAACTTCAGTGTGTGCGCGCATGGGATTCTTTGGATTTTGTTGTATTTAACATTCCCGAATGAACCAAACCCAAATCCGTAAAAGTCTGGGAGAACCCTTTGGTGTGTGTGTGTGTGATGGTTTTGAATTTAACATTCCCGAATGAACCAAACCAAATCCTTAAAAAATATGGGAGAACCCTTTGGTGTGTGAGCGATTTTTTGTATGTAAAATTCCCGAATGAACCAAAACCAAGTCCGTAAAACCCGTTGGTGCGTGTGTGTGTGTGTGTGTGTGTGGAGGCTCTAAAGCTTGGACCTCTGCCGCTCCCCGCGGCGAAAACGTGTGAGGCGCTGATGTCGGAGGCGCTGCGGGTGGCTGAGGAGTGCCGGCAGAAGGAGCGGGAGGCGGGTCCTGGAGCCCAAACCCCGAGGGGGAAGCATAGCATCATAATGCCAATCATAAGAAAATGATACATGTGAGAAAGTATAAGATATATGACATACATATTTATGTATATATATGACATATAACTTACGATGTACAATATAACATAAGTAAACATACATATATATATAGTATAGTACATAAATTATATTAGGGGTGTCTTCTTGCCAGAAGGGTCAATGCAGCTAGATTTGCCGAACTTCTGCCAGAGAACAGTTAGTTGGTGGTTTGGATTTGGATTTGAAGCTCTGGTTCTTGAGTGCTAAATGGAGAGGTTCTTCTTTATTCGGGCGATGGTTGGGGGGGAGTTTCATCGTGAATGGGTGCGGATATCCGGCCTGTTTTAAAGGTCTTCGGGTGGTTTGAGTAGAGGTTTCTTGATGACCGGTTTTGATTATAACTCACTTCAGTCTGGAGCATTTAGTGGTAAGCAGACAGTTGAGACTTTGGGCCAATCCACGGAGTTGAGTTGTGAAACATGGATGGACTCCCTCACAATCTTAAGCAATTGCTTAACTTTTACCCCGTGATTATGGTAAAATGGCACCCTACAACACCGGTCTAAGTATTTAGGCACTTGTAGCACAGGGTTCCATTCGTCCAAGATTCCAGACTTGTATTCTTATGTTCAAATAAAAGTTCAGCAAGGCCGGGCTAGAACCTCCCGTGAAGCCAAGCAGTAGGACCATCTACCAAGCAGGCAAATCATGAGAACCCAGGACCAATTCGTAAGGGCTGCGACTGTACGAGGGCGCATTTGTGCCCCACGAGCAACAAGACATCACTGTCAAGGTGTCTCGGGCCTCCAAGTTGACGCGGGGCAGTCGTGCCGAGTCTCAACCTGACAGCTCCTTTGTTGTAGACATCTCTCAACGCTATATCGACACCTGATTGGTCACGCCCATGAAGGCAAGAAAGCAAGAGTTCCCGAGACTGAGCCGGATCAGGAAACGCATTTGCGCACTGCCGGGGCGAATTGCTCAACACAGAACCACCCCATGAATCCACCAGGTTGATTCATCCCGGAGGTTGTCTGGGCAAATTAACACGTGTCTCACGGATCCGGGGGTACAACAAGCTTTCCCATGATGAAGGTCCCTTATTGTGTCCTAATTGGGAGCCCTCCACATACTCTCTTGCAGATTCACGTGAAGCCCACTAAGGGCGACCCTCTTTGGGGTTCCATATGGTTCCATGTTATTTGTGGCAAGAGGCAAGTAGGTGGGTTCTTGGTGGGTTCTTTTGGTTCATGAATAAAGGTGTGTCCTGTAGAGGAGCCTTCAGTTGCAGGGCAAGCCGGTGTCAAGATCCAGGATGAAGGGACCAGGGATCGAGAAAAAAACAAAACAAAAAAAGCAAGGATGAGGCTGACCAAATGGAGGTTGAGGCTGACTGAGGATAAGGAGAAGGATGCTGACAAAAGCACCTACTGGGTGTGGTTCTTGATTTTTAGGGGCTTCCCCTTTAAAGCATATGGTTTTGAAAAATAATTCCAAGAAGGGAAACTATTTCTTGCACCCATGGGAGAACGAGTGAGCTTGTAACTTGTAGGTTTGATCTCCGCAATTCTCCGGGAACATGTGTGAGTTGTTTTGCTGGAATTAATGAGAGTTTTACCTGCCAGCACCCCCCCAACTACTGCTTGTTGGTGTCCATACTTAGGGATTCAGGACATGGTTTTTGAAAGCAGTTGCAAGTTTGGGGGGTCTGACAGAATTTTATCAGCTTCATTCATCTTAGAAGTTATTTTCTTAACTTAACTGCGAAATATATATAAAACCCACAGAAAAACAGAAGAAGACAAACACACACATATTTTCACAGGGTGGCTGGTGAGTTCCCACCAGAAACCCACAAGAACTCCGTTCACGGCCAGCCGCACCCCGCGGCTTTCGCTTCGGCGAGGCCTACGTCGCCTCCTTCGGCTGCGACGGGCTGCTGGCGGCCACGTCCTCGGCGCTCAGCGAGTCGGAGCAGGCGGGCGTGGGATCACAAGGGCTTGATCCAAGCACGTACGGGAATCTCTTCCCATCTCTTCCCCTTTATATGGAGATAGTCTTTGATATCTTCGAGAATCTCTTCCCCTTGAACTCCAAGCACTTCTGTGATGTCTTCGGGACTCTCTTCCCCTTCTGGTCTTCGGAGTTGTTGCCCTTTCTGTATCGCAGATTCGATTCCATTTCCCACAGCCCTGGAGGCGGAGCAGCTGGCGCAGGACCGGTGGATCGATCCGGCGCGCCCCACCAATCGACGAGTCGGACGAGTCGTCTTCCGGGTGATGCAATGGCTTGGGTGGCGCAATGTGTGGGTCTGGCTTTAGTTTTTTTGAGGGGCCCACATTAGAATGGATTTCGGGGTTCCTTAGAGTCTTGCCAAGGGTACCAATCAACTGGGACTTGTTGAGCGTGCCCCTTTGGTGGTTTTCGAGGGGGAAAGCAAAGGAAAACCGAAGACCATTTTGGGGGGTTGCCTCAAAAAGGAGACAGACCCCAATGAAACTTTGCCAACTTGTGTTATTTTTTAGGCAAAGACTCCGACGCAGGAATCCTTTAAGGTTTTCTCACTACTGTTGCCAAACACTAAAATGTCCTTTTCAGTTGGGAGCAAGGGCTGCAGTATGCTGGGTACATTCGACCACAAGACCTGGCCCAAAAGCGGTCAATTGCAGGGATACCCTTTTTGCACCGGAGCTGGGATCTCTCATCTGCCGTTACATGTTAAAGTTCACAAAATGGGCGTGATTTTAAATTCCACTTTTGGGCGGCATTTACATCGGGATTGTTGTCTATGTTTGAGGGAGTTAGTCAAAGATGAACCAGAACAACTACACTTGTGCGTGAAAAGCTGCGTGTCACGTCCTTCGGTTAGCCCCATGTTGACTTGGGTCTGTCTCAAAAAGGGATCCGTTTTCTAGAGGTTTTACAGGGCAGCGAAACGGAGACCGACCGCCTGGGGCCCCGAAAACTTGAGACTCAAGGATGCGTGGTTAACCTGTTTGGGGATTCTGAGGGACGGAGTTTTTTCCCGAAATCTCCAGGAGTCTGTCGCCAAGCGCGAGGCGAGGAAGCCTTTGTCCGAAGCCAACGGGGAGGGCACGGCCCAAGTCATAACTTGGTTCGCAGCCGCCCGCTTTGCTTTGTCCAAATCTTGGTGGCTCTTAGGCGCCATCCGGCGCCTTAGCTGTTTGGTCTTTTAGCAGTTTCAGCTGTTTAGCTGTTTAGTGGTAGTTTCCATTTAACCCACTAAAGGTGTTTAACTCTTAGCAGTGGATCTGAGGGCCCAGATAAAGCAATCATGGGAATGACCCATCACAAAGGTGATGCGCACGCCTTTGATGCAAAGGCTTCTTGTTCCCTTCAAGACCCCTCTGCCAGCTCTGCCAGGGACAAAAAGACAGACGCTCTGCGGATCCATTCGGGCCACTAGGGTTGCAACATTTAGTAGGTTGCAACATTTAGTAGGTTGCAACATTTAGTAGGTTCAACATTAAGTACCTGTCAGGTGTCCCTTTGGTTTCCCTATGTACATTTAATAGGTTGATTTGTCTCTTTGGAAATGGATCTTCTCACCTCGATCAGAGTTCCCATCTAGGTTTGTTTGGGTTTCAACGCATGCACCACATGGTTTGTAGACAAGCCGTTTGCTTGGTTGGAACATGCAGAGCCAAACGTTAGTGGGGGCATCGGATCTGTGAACAACCCTTGCGCCAGCTGGCATTGTTCACACGCCTGGCGCAAAAGAGAACCCCAATCTCAGGTGCACCATGCTCAAACTCTGACTCAGCTGAAGTTTGTTTAAGGGTTGGTTTAGGGTGTGGCTTAGCGTGGATTCACAAGGAATGAGACTTGATCCAACATTCTATCCCAAAGAAATATCGAGTTGGCATTTCTTCCTCCCCCTGTTCGCCCCTTGCCATGAACATGCTTGAAAAGGTTCTCCAACGCCAAAAGCTCTGTCCAGGGTTCTAGGGTTCCCATCTACCCGCAACCCAACCAGATAAAACCCCATGAGACAAACAAATGAAACATCCGTTTTTTTGGGGGCCTTTCCCAATTGAACCCACTGTGATATTATTCGCTCAAAGACAAGCATCCGGAGAAAACCAAAGGCATCATCCAGCCTTCCTCAATTTCTCTTTTGGAGGGTTCCAAAAGTGGTATTTTCAATGGACACCAGAAAATGCAACCTTTGAAGGGGAAATCCCTGGGCGACCACCTGAGCTACCCGAGGCACCCCGTCAATTTTCGGAGTTCAGGCGGAGATGCAGGCCCTGCAAGACGCCCTGCTGGCCGCGCGGGAGATTCTGCGCAAGGCGCGCTCGTCGGGCTGGGATGTTAAGCAGAAATTGGGTAACTTTGGTGCATTTTGCCCAGGGATGTTGGGACTTTAACCTTTTGCCAGTGGGTTTTCCGTATTAAACCACTGAAAGTTAAACTTTTAGCAGGGGAGCAGAAAGCAACCGAGGTAATCAAATTATATCTCTGTTGGCCAGTGGCGCCCCTTTTTTGTTCTCTCCTTTTTTTGGGAAGGGTTCCCTTCAAAGTCAAGCAACCAAAGAAGGATGCCCTTTTTGCCCATGGCCACTGTTCTGTACAACCACAAAACACCATATCCAGGTATGCCTCAGACTTTTGGGTGTGAGCTTGGAATTGGTGACATATCCCAGTACGCATGTCTGGAACTTGAGGAGAAATCTTCGGGTTTCCGACCCCACAAGTCCCGCAAGGTTCAAAAGCAGGTTTCGAGGATGATTTCTTCACACCCCAACTAAATCAATTGACCTGCCTGCTGCAAAACTCACTTTTTGACACTTTGTTGGGCACGTTATTTCCAGAAGGGCATTGAAAACCATGGCATGAAAGGGAAGAGAGACCCCTGCTATTAATCGATGTTTGGTTTACCTTTGGTTTACCTTTGGCTTCATTCCAAAGCTTTGACGCGTGATTTTGTTGTCTTACCCCAAAGGACTTGAAATTTTGCTGGGAAACACAATTCGTTGTTACCCCTTTTGGCCGAGCCTCTCAGAAAGTGGATCGCCGACCCCGATTTCCAAGTCGTCTCTCGAGTGGATTTCAGCAACGCGCGAGGTGCAAGGGAACAAGGAGGTGAAGCTGCAGGACACGGTCCTTGCTTTGTCGGTTCGAAGGGAAAATTGGTTTTGTGGTTGGGCCCAGGGTGAACTTTGGAACAAATCCGTTTGGGGAAGGAAAGGGGAGGACCAAAGGAGAATATTGGCGAAAAGTGCAAGGTGCAATCCCACCCCAAGCGTACGGAATTCAGGTTGGCTGAATGGAAACCAACGAGAAAGCCACCGGTCCCAATCCTATTTTGGCACATTTGGGTTTTCTGTCCAGTCCATGGTTCATTTGGGAGGTACTACGAGCTCTAAATGCCCCTCAGCCAAGGGGCTCACAGTGGCTTATCTCGCAAAATCCGCCAGCTGGCAAGAGGTTTCATCTATCCCAGATATCATAGTCCAGGTTTCATCTATCCCAAGTGCAGAATGTTATTCATCCACGGCTAGTCAAAAGACCTGCATGGATCATCAACCCTCCTCACAAGGGTTCGAAAGGGAATCATGGCCATGACTCTAGAGTTCAATCCCCTTTCAAAGAATGGGCACAATTTTAGATGGTAAAACTCCTTAGGTCAAGAATGGCTATATTGACTGTTTTAACGGTAGTGTTTAGGTGGTTTAAATGGTTTCATAGGCAAATAATGGTGGCAAATAATGGTTTTAACGGTGGGTTGAACTGACAGTCGCATGGATTTGAGGTTCACTGGTACCTGGGGGGATATGAACCCGCCCAACTTGGGTGCTTATATTGTCCGAGCAACCGTTACTCCATACCATTGCCTCCCAGCATGACTGACAAAGACGCTTTTTTTGACATGGCACCATCACAATTCCAACCCCATCCGGCAATGCTTTCTCAGGAGTGTTGCTCAACTTGGGGTCCCAAGCTTATGCCCAGATTTTTCCAGCAGCCGCAAGGGCCGTTCGCGAGCGAAAATTTTGGAGGCACCGTCGGTTTGGGAAAAAGCGGACGGACTCAAGGCCCTGGTGGCGTAGCCTGCATCATTCGGGAGGTTAGGATAACCCAGCACGGTGAGCAGGCGGCCGTCCGGAAAGGCAGCTAAATCAGAGCCTGAAGCTTCGCTGCGATGCACAGTTCTTAACGTTTGCGATTGTGACTCTAGGGGTTGGTTCCCCATTCTTTTCAGTCGGCAGCCGCAGTTGCCCTTGTCGAATTCATCATAGAATCAGCCACTTTGGTGTGCTTGATTGGCTGTGCTGGCCGATGCATGTTGAAGCTCTTCACTTAGCTTCGAAACATGAAATTGTTTCGGCAACGGTATCAGAATTCCAACTCCTTGAGCAATGTTCTGTTCAGGAGTCTCGCTCCACTTGGGGGTCCAACGATATTGCCCCTAAAAACTGGGTGCCTTGAAAGTGAGCATTTTGAGGGGTTCGCAAAATCGCTCTCGGGGGTCGTTTGCCTTTGAACCACCGTCCATTTGGAGGGACATTTGGAGGATGTCACTCTTATCGAGCCAGTAAAGTATAGGTGTTAACATCACCTTTTGAGAAGGCCAAGTTCAAGCGGAAGCCACGATTCACTCAGCGGCATGGGCCAATTTCAAGGTCCTTGCTGGAAAAGCTGACTTTTTGGATCACACATGACAATGGGTTTGTTTGTCTGAGGGTACAGAAAGAAACCACCAGTCGTTCCGAATCTTGGTCGCTGGTCGGGCTTTTCGAACTGAAGGAGTTGGTTGTGGCCTTAGCTGGGCAATGTTTAACGACGTCAACGATTGTGTGTGTGTGTTTGCGCGCGCAATTTTGCATTGTAACCATTATTTTTAGGGGGGATCCCCTATCTTGGATTTTTGACTTATGAAAGCAAGCAGAGTTCATCAAGGCTTCACCAAACCTCTTGTCAAGGATCAACACATCGCCACCCGTTGTTCCCCTGAGACCCTGCGGCCAGGGGGAACATGTTTAAAACAATTGACAAGGGCTGTACTTTGCGCAGACTTCCAGTGGTGCCTTTTGTGTGTTTGTTGTAAAACGGGGATTCCTTTACAATCAACTACACAAAACAAGGGTGCCTTGTTTCTTTACATGGAGGTCCACTAGTTGTCTGGGGTGGGCTGGTTGATTTTTGAACAGGTTTCCTCACCAAGGCACAGTCTTTGCCAGTTGGCACAAGGACCAAGGCGCCTTTGCTTCACGGTTCTTTGCTTGGTTCTTAGTTGTTCAGCTGTTTGGATCTGTTCATCGTTCGTTGAACAACTAAGAACCAAGCAAAGAACAGTGAAGCAAAGTCCAAAGTTCAAAAGTTTTGCTCTTTAGAGTTGCTCTTTAAAGTTTCTTAGTTGTTCGTTGCAAAGTGTGGTTGACTTTAGAGGGAACCGGGTTCTGGGCTTTAGGGCCGTGTGACTTGGGGTTGCCTCGGGGTGACTGGAACCGGAGGGGGTCTCCCTCCAAATTGAGTTTGCATTGTGTCGAATCGTCTGAAGAAGGCCTGGTAGGGTAGGATGCTGTTTTATAGGTTTGGTTTCCCTGTCGCAGGATATCCTACCCAACGACATATCCTAGAAAATATGATTTGCTGCAAGGAGAAGGAGCGCCTAGAGCAAGAGAAGTCGGCCAAAGAGGTGCCAGCCCGGAGCAGGTTTCAAACACTGGGCTGTGTCAGGCACCCCCCCAAAGTGGAATTGGACCCCCCACAAAGGCACCCAACACAAACCCTGTTAGCCTCCAATAGACCTTTGTCTCTAAATTCCTCCCTTATTGGGATTTGGGGGGGGGGGTCCTGTGTTGGGTCCACTTGTCTCTTCAAACCACCCCCTCAGAATTGAAAGAAAAACAGCGCCCTCCAAAAAAGCACAGAGAGGTTTGTGGGGGGTAGGGGTCTCTTTTGCAGCAATGCTTCCATTCTGGGGTTCACTCCAGCGCCAGAACTAATCAGATGATCTTTTGAAGTTGAGGTTGCTTATGCAGGTTTTGAACAGCAGCTGCAGGGTCTGAGGCTCTGAGGCTCTGAGGGTCTGAGGCTCTGAGGGTCTGAGGCTTTGCAAGCGCCATTTCAGTGAGTTTTGCTTGGGGCGCTGTTCCACCAGCCCCAAAAAGCTCCGAGCCCTTGAGTGTTGCGGGTAGAAAAATGGGTCTGTCGTTGGGGTACCCATCGCAAAATGTCTGTGGTGGTCAAAACCAACGGGATCCCATTTTGGGCTAGGTGCACCACCTATGTAAGAACCTATTTTAGTGGTTGGATTGGTTGATGTAACCACTGGGGGTACTTTTCTTGGCTTTTGAAAAGCCCCTTGCCAAATGGCAACTCGGTCGTTTTTTTTCCGTTTCCCTTTTGGGGTTTCTTCTGTAAGACCACAGAAACGGGTAGCCGTACAAAAACTAGAGGACGAGCCACCGAGATGTGGCGTTGGTTTCAGGATTAAAGTCAAGCCCAGCTTAATGTGGGACACTCCCTGCTGGTGGGGCTGAAGAGACCACTCTTGTAAGGGAACATATGAAGCAGGGGATATGAATCTTGGACAACATTTCCAGGGACCACAATTCCACTTGCGCTCCTCGATGCTTTTTGCGAGGAGCCTTTTTTTTGTTTGGGGGGGGCCTTATTGCCTTCTGACCCTGGGTTCGGGGGCCTTAAAAAGAAAGGCCTTTAGGAAGCGGCCGTGAAATGTGGGGAAAGTTCTTTGTTTGCAAGCCGGACGCTTTTAGTTGGGTTGACCGTGTTTTCTTTGGCCGCATTAGTAGCCAAATGGCTTTGTAGTGCTTGTGGCTGAAACGTACGCTTTCCAAAGCTGCGAGAAAACCATGTCAACATGTTCAAGCTGTTCAATGCTCAAGGTCTTCGACTTTATGGGATTTCTAGAAACATTGATCATGGGCTTAGCAATGGGACATCGACAAGGGGAAAGCGTGAAAATGCCGTGAAATTGGCGTGAACGCCCTTTTTTTGCAGTGAAAGACCGTGAAACGCCGTGAAATTTGGCAGGCAAAAAACCACGCACATTCGTCCTGGCTAGCATTGTTTGCTGCTGGGTTTGAGAAGGTCCTGCTGAATGGATGTTTCGGGAAGACCATGATTGTTCCATTGAGGATGCAGAAATGTGCTGCTTTAACGTTAAGGCTTTTCGCAAGTCTAGCTTGGCTTTTTGCTGACGATGTAAAGCTTGAATTCCACCCAGGCCCCATCCCCCAGCTAGTCAAACAAAGGATGTTCATGTAACGGCCTTTGTTTTAAAAGCCTTTTACCCCCCAGGGCTGAGTTGGCAAATTCCAGACTCAGTTGCAGCGATTGTTGCTCCACGCGCCAGCATCTCTAAAACAGGGCTGCTCAATGCTCTTCAACACTGTAGGTCAAAACTGAAGGTGTTTTACCTTTGGTTTCCCTCCAATAGGTTGAAAGGGTACCAACTCCGACTCCGCATCAGGCTGGCTTAGTGAGGAGTGAGGGAATGACCCGAACTCGAAACAAGGTGAACCATCCCGTGTCTCTGGATCAGTTTCCCCTAAAATGTTCAAGAAACAGAAAACAACATATGAACTAAGAAACCTGAGTGCTAGGTTTAGCCTAAACCTTAGTTTGCTTAGGAGGTTTAGGAGTAAGTTTTCCCTGTTAGTTTGACAGGGAATCAAAAGCTATTTTTCCCAAGTCAAGTCCTGCAAACGTTGAGCTTTTCCAGGTCAGTCTTGAAGATTCGACATGTGGGGTGCGGCATAACCGTGCTTGTGATGTCCAATTGGCCGTTCTGAACTTTGGGTTGGGTGTGCTGGGCACTCCGGCCTTTGCCTTCCTCGTTTGGTGCGTTGACCTCCTTGCAGCAGCAGAACGCCACAAGGTGGCCGCCCTCCAGCTGATTTGTCAAGCCTTCGGTCGTTTTGACGGCTCTAAGAAACAGAGGCTCCGTAGCGGCACGAGATTTTCATGGTAGTGGGGAGCCCATCTGGTCCAGATCTGCGAAGGTCGATCTGGTTGAGAGGCTCAAGGCCAGCCGGACTTTGGCAAGATTGCCCAACGCTCTTCACGATGGTGTAGGGCAAAATTGCAGCTGTTTTCCTTTTGGTCTCCCTCCAGTTCAACCTTAAAAAAGGAGGACCCACTTCGAAGAAGCACGCCCGTAAGGCTGGGTCAGGGAAGAATGACGGAGTGACCCGAATCGAAGTCAACCATCCTGTGGACCCGTAGGGGATCCGTTTCAAACAGTGTCTGAACTTATCCAGCACCAGCAAAACAAGTTTATCTAAAAATTGCCCGCTGAAGGAGTACTGTGTGCTAAATGTTAAACCTCATTTGCTGAGTATGTTTTAATTTACCACTCTCTCTGTTCTTGGCGAACCTATGACTACTGGACATCTTTGTATCTTGTCCCATTAAAAAAAAAAAAAAAAAACAGCAAATGGAAGATATAAAACATGGGGTTCTGGAAGCCTCGGTTCACTCCGTGCGCTTTTGGCTCGCTCCTTCCACTTGAGCCGCGCGTTCCTTCTCCAGGCGGAGCTTCAAGAAGCGGAGCGCGCGCGACAGCAGGCGGAGGCCAAAGGGTGAGATACCTTTCGACCCCAAATCGGGGCTCCTCAAGCGGACCAATCCAAACCAAGCCACCAATTCGGCGAAGCTGATTTACATGGTTGTTGTTGAGAAACATTTTTCATTTTTGCTTATGGTGGTTTAGTGGGAAATCCCCGCAAAACTGCTGAGAATTATATTTTTGCTCCCCTTCCAACTTCAACCAATAAATGGTGAATCCCTGGACGCCAAATCCGATTGTAGCCCCCAGCCATGAGCTTTTCCTGAGCTTTTGAGATCTTTTGAGCTTTTAGCATTTTAGTGGGTTTAGTGGTTGGGTGTTTCCAAGTTAAACTTTTAGCAGGGTGATCTGAGGACAATGCGGAAGGTACCCAACGTTCAAACAAATCAAGTCACAAGATTGCGGGGTAAGGTGATGATGCTGGCTCTGTTTTGTTGTTTTTTTGGGTCCATCAAAGTCAACTGGTGTTTCCCTTTGACCTATCAGAAGGGTGACTTTGACTCGTCACTCAAAGAAAATGGGCCTGTCTCCAGGACTGGAGGGTAGATGGGGCAGCATGCTTGGAAGTACCTGGCAGAGGGGCCGTTTGGCAGCCAGGCTCTAGTCAGGTAACCCGCCAGGTTGGTTGGATTGGTGGTTTGGATCGGTGGTTTGGGTTGGAGCTTTGGATTTGAAGCCTTGGTTCTCGAGAGTAAATGGGAAAACCACCCCTCAACCACTAGACCAATCCAAACCACCAATTCGGGGAAGCTGACTTACATGGTTGTTGCTATTGTGGCTTAGTGGTTGAAATCCAAATCCACTGAAAACCGCTAAAATTTCAGATTTGTTGCTCCCCGAACCCAGCGTCAACCAAATATTTCGGTTGTGCTTCGAGCCGGCGAACTGGGTGAAGACGGAACCGGACCCGGACGGAGCTGGGGGGCCCTTGAAGCCCAAGCGAAAAGTCCGGAGCGTTCAGTTGGGGTTCACCTGGCCTTGGAGTTGGATACCCCCAAAAAAATCTTGGGGCAGGGGTTCCCTTTTTTCCTTTTTTTTGGTTTTCCGGTAAAACCCACCCAAAAAGGGGTAACCTCGAAAAAGAGCGACCCAGTTGTCAAGAAGGGGTCCCCAACTTGTACCCTTTGTGGATGACTCGAAGGGTCATAGCACTCATGTTCAAAGTCAACAAGTCCACCACAACATGTTCCCCACACCGAAGGTACAGCTCCTCCAAAACCTTCTCTGAGAGGATGTTTCGGGTCGCCCAGAATGTTTTCCAGCTCAGCAACCGATTTTTCCAGACTTGTTTGGGCCAAGGGAAATGAAAGTAAACACCCTTTCCAGGTCTTTCCTTTTGGGCTAAGGGAAATTTGGGGTAGTTTTCCAGACGTTTTGGGCCAAGGGAAGGAAAACCACCAAAAGAGTCAAAAAACTGAAGGTAACAACCAAACCTATAAGTTTGCCAGGGTGGGGGGGGGAATTCGGGGGAGGGTTCGGACACCGAGTCACCCAACCTTCGGCCGATTCGATAACCGTTCCGTCGCAGGCGGACCTGGCGCGGACGGAGGAGTCCTTGGCGGAGGCCAAAGCCGCGCTGCTGGAGGCGAAGCGCTTCGCGCGGCTTTCGCATCGATGGGAGCTAGGTCCCCAGCAATTGGTGCCCTTTGTGCCGTTTCTTTTTTGGGAGAGGGTTCCCCTACTAAAATAGACAGAAAAAGTTGGTGCCCTTATTCTAACCTCTCTACTGGAGGACCTAGGGAGGGCTTCCCATGGATCTTGTGGAGGTTTCTGCTCGCGGGCGCATCAAGTCATGTGAGGGGTGAGACCTGATCTTATGCCACAAGGTTGGTACACCTGGATCCTCCGAGATGTCTAGGTTTTTGTTGTATTCTGTTTCTTTCTTTTTTTCGGACATTTTGAACAGCCGGAGGGCCCACGGATGTTTAATCATGCCACATGGTTACCCTGCAAGTTGACTGTGAGCGGTATACTTCCATTTGTTGAAAATCAGAGTTTGTAGTTCCCCTTGTTGATTTGAAAGGGAATCCACCGCTACTGCAAAACTATGTTATCTTTTCTCCAGGCGGCTGAAGCAAATGCAAGGCTGCCTCCGTTGTGGCATGGCACCTGACGACCGAGTCCTTCCTAAAGGGTACCCGGGCACAGCTGCGTTTTGCGGGAGGAAGGGTAGGCTCACTGATGATTTGGGGGTAGCCTCAGAAAGAAACAAACAAAAGTTCACATGTCTTGTCTCTAGACAACCACAACTATTCACTTCCGAGTTGCTAAAAACTCATGTTCACATGTCTAGTGTTCAGACAACCACAACTACTCACTGCTGGACTTTATACTTTTTGGGACAACCAGTTTAGTGGCAAAAGAAAAGGTCATACTTGTTTGGGCCAATCCACTCAGGAAGTGAGTAGGAGGAGGGTTATGGGCTAAGTGCCAATGGCTTGCCTTTTCATAAAGCTAATGCCTTTTTGGGTTTCCTTCACTCCCCCATTTCAACCAGCAAAATGTAATAACTTTTCGGCAGGGAGTCGGCTCTAATTGGCCCAGCTCCCACACAATTCTTGTATGTTGTTAGGTTTGATCTTCATGTCTTCAGTGCTTTTTGGGGAAAAGTATGATTTTCCCACCAACCCGCACAATGTGAAATCCGGTTCATGGCCCGCGGACATTCTGCCAGTCGTGCTACCAACTGCATGCGGGATGCACAATGGAGTAAAGGCCATCAAGCTCTCACTTCCAGTTCCTGGATTTGCAAAAACTTGTTGGGAAGACCGTTTGAGCCACGTGCTCAAAACCCGGGTAGATGAAGGAAAGTAAAGGACGATCCCAACCATAAACCGCCTTCTTAATTCCTTACATGGTTCTGGGTAGACCATTTCTGTAGCCGGTTTTGATTTGTGTCTTAAACAAAAAGTTTGGATGTTTGTTGGCCCATCTACTCAGGAAGAGAGAGCTTAGTAAGTGGGTTTCAACCGTGCTCCTACAGGGACAGCTGGTTGGCTGATTTCGCACCATGGTTAAGCCCCCTTGTTAAGCAAGTTGAACATCCAAGCTCGGATACGGGTTTTCGGGCGGGCATTTGACACGGTTCCTTTGTTCATACGAGTCACACAAACAACTGGTCTCAACCGTTGATTTGGGGAGGACGAGAAGGGAGGACCGCGGCGTTATCTCTGCTCACCTGTGTGTGTGTGTGTGTAAAATTGGGAAAGCCCAAGTTCATTGGGTTCCTATCTAGAACAGCTAACAACCCCTCTATGTGCAGGCGCTGATCCATCCTTTGCGGGATTTCCTTAAGATTCCCATGACTGGCCGTGTTAAATACAGAGTGGATTAGCGCATGACTTGTCCAGCTCAAAAAGGTGGTCACACAACGAATGGGGCCGCGAAAGAGGGGTGGTCAAAGAGGGGCGGTCAGAGACGGCGCCTTTGTCTCAACCTGCGCGAGGGCGAATCGCCTTAAGAGGGGTCCCCAGGATACGTATGTGAGCCATTCAAAACATCACCTGGAGCAGTTCTCTGCAGGATGCCGTGTAAAACAGGTAGTTTGGGAATCCTTTAAGGAACCCTGATGAAGTAAAGCTTGGCAGCAAGCTATTCCCCCTTTCGTGTTTTTTTTGTGTTTTTGCTGGGTCCGGTCAAGGGTCCAAGATGTTGACTCTTCTACCCAGAGTAGCATTGACTCTTGTGTCTGTGTTTAATTCCACGGTTGCATCACGGCTTGTAGCAGGTTGGGTGTTACCTTGCAACCATAATTGTTCATTGGCCCAACGGGAAGCCAACAAGGAACAGAGACTTTGATCATTTTCCAGACCCCCTCTTCATCACTCACAGATTTGTTTTTTCAAGAAGCTTCCAACATACCACAGGTGCAAGGTTAAAACCTCCCTACTCCAGATGAGTCTTAGCCTCTCTTTTCACCGACCCCTGGTGTGCATCCTCGGTTCTCGGGTTTCCGCGGGCCGCGGGTTCCTTTTGCGAGGCGCAGAGGGACTTGGCGCAGAAGCGGGGCACCGAAGAGCCGCTCGGAAGAACCGGGCTGACCAGTGGCTGCATCGCTCAGGGCCATAGGGGTGGCTCATTCGTCCTTTTGTTTTTTGGTTTCTTCTTTTCTTGTTTTGGGGGGGGAGGGGCCCCCCGCCGTTTGTTTGTTGTTGTTGTGTTGTGGTTTTGAAGGGAGACCAAAAGGAAACCCAGCGTTTTTTGGGCTCCCTCAAAAACGCCAAAGCCATAGGGATGTTGTTCCTTTTTGCCATGGCAGAAATGGAGATGACTTCAGAACATACAGCTGGGTGAAGTAGATAGCACAATCCGTCCATTTGCCCGGTTTGGTCATCCCTTTTACCTACCACATAGAAAGGGAATTGTGTTATCTACTTTTGCCCTGGTGCACCTACCTGGGGAGTCCTTCCAAAGCATTTATAGACATATATATATATACATATATCTTAGGGTAGACCAAAGTTTACCCTGCTTCCAACAAACGTGGGTTGGTTCACAGGACCCTTATGCAACAGGAAAGTAGAAGTTGTGAACTTCAATCGCCCGCAAAACAACACCTGCGCCATGGTTTATGAAGTTTGTGGCCAAGCCCTCGTTTATGAACTTGAGACGTAAATCAAAGGATCACTCTCACTGCTTTCCTTCGGGAGCTCTTCTGAACATTTATCCCAAGACTCTTTTGGGTGTGTCTCTTGTTGGTAGCATTTATTTGGGTTTGAAGAGCGACAAGGAAAAGCGCCAGTGTGGGATCCCCCAAGAGAGCTACACCTTCAAGGTTGGCCGGGATGGCCATGAACCTCTCGGGGAGGGTGATAAAATTCTTGATAGGGGGCATGTCCATGACCCACAGATGCGGAGTTTGAGCACGTCACACATTTTGCAGGTAGCAAAAGGTGAGCCACACTCAAAACCTGGGTAAATAAATGTTAGTGAGGATCAATCCCAACCAGAAGAAGATACGGCCGCCTTCATGATTCCGGGTAGACCATTTTAAAACCGGGTTTTGATTGTGACACAGGTGAAGCTGTTATTTCTAGGTTGGAAGGCCAGTGAATTGTCTCCTACTGATTTGGAGAGGGCAGCCAGTGCAAAGTAGTAATGTTCTGTGCCGAAACTCGGCCCCATTAAACAGGGTTACTTCAAGGATTCCAGGATACAAGTTGGCACTTGTGAACATCACCCCTTGATATGAGATATATCTTGTCGGGAAATTCTGACTTCAGCGCTTTACCCCTGATTCGGCATATCAGCATTTGCAGCAAGAAAGAAATGCCATCAACCTGCTGCGCAGGGAATCAACTTTGGCGCCTCAGGAGCACCCCAGAAGCAAAGTCCTACCTGACTTTGAACAAGAATGGTGAACAGCCACTTTGGGAAGCATCGCGATTCTCCCATGAGTTGTTTGCCGTGCGGAAAATGAGGGGCTTTGACCACGAACCAGCAGAACAAGGGTTAGAAAGGGTGGAAGTGGGTTAATCGGCCACTGCTTTTGCCGGGTTAGGGTGGCAACATGGAAGCAGGACTGCCTCTGGGGGCAGGACACCCCTTTGTTCTGTTTGTTGTTTTTGGTTTGACAAGGTTCAGTTTGATACCCTTCCACCAGCAAGCAACGGAGTGCATCGTATGGTTCTCCTGGAAGCCGCTGCACCAATCCATTCTTGTTGGGCGGGTAGATTGCTTGCTGGTGCGATAGCTAGGGAATGACCGAGACCGGGTGTTGGCAATGAAACGGAAGGGGATTCCCCCACAAAAAACACAACCAGTTGGATGGCTTCCAGGGGTCATTCCATTTCCCATTCCCTACTGAGAACCAGCAAGATGGTTGGTTTTGCGTTTGGGACTGAATCTCCCCGCTTCCCTCGGGCTTGCAAGCTCGCTGGCACAAAGTTGGTTTCGCAGGAGCTCATCGATCAAAGAGCGCCTTGGCGAGGGGTTAAGGGCGGATGCCGAGGTTCGGTCATTTCCTGATGTGCCGATCATCGGGGGAGGGTGGGGGGGAATTTCGAAGTTTCACGCAACCTCCCGAAAACTCGCATTGGTTGAGTTCTGTTGGAGCTAGGGTTGGGCAAAGCTTGCTGAACCCACCAGACCCTGGTCCCCTTCAAAGGCGAACCAGACCGGAGCAATAGTATGATTGCAATATCTGGAAACACTAAAGATTGGCCTTACACTGGTCATGGTGGATGTTGTTGTTTCAAAACGAAGATGGAAGAGTCCGAGTTCCGCTACAGACTTCAGTGAGTTTGCGGGCTCACCGACCGCGTCCTTGCGGTGTGTTTTTTGAGGGCACGCCGGGCACGCCTTTTGGATTTGGTCTGAGGGGAAGACAAAAGGAAAACAAACCATTCTTGAGGGGTCCCGGATTGCCAAACACACCCATTTCCTGTTGTGTGGTTTACCCATTGCCGTTTGTGTTTGTGCATCAAGCAAGGCTCCCAGCTGGTTTGGGGGCGAAAGAAACACATACTTGGTCTTAAGGGGGCTCCATAAATTTCCCACAAGACCGCTCTACTTTTCCTCTGTCGAAGAGGGAAAGGACCCCCTCTCACACGGGACTCAGATTGCAAGTATGTTGTAAACCCCCAGTTGTCAGCTTACCCGTGTTTGTTTGGATTTGTGGCTTGGATTGGTGGAGGCCACATGGTGTGCCGAATTTCTGCACGGGCTTGTTCCCCGAAAACGAATTTGCTTCGGCCCATGTTTAGTTTGTGTTGTGAAAGGTGAGGCTTTCGTCTCCTTATTTTGGGACCAGTGAGAAGCCGTACGATGTTTTCCAGCTTCTCGTTGGGACAATTTCAATGTAAGGGGTCCAAGTTTGAGGAATTTTGCTGGTCTCGCACCCTTCTTCAACGGCCCTCCAACTGGCCCTCCAATTCTGAATTCTCTCGGAATACCAGCCACCTGGAACCCTCATTGATTCCAGCGATGGGGTAAAGTGAGCGATTTGGCCCATGCTGACCCCCACTGTTTACCGTTCAGGATTGTCATCATCCAATTTGGGTCCCCTTGGGCCTTTCTTCTAATTGGTGTTGAACTGTAGGGTTGCGGCTTGCTGAAAGATCTGGGAAGGAGGGCAAATGGGATCTTGGTGGGAAGTTGATTCCTCTAGCGGGCACAACTGGGCAAAACGAGTCACTTGCGTTTTGAATAGAAGTGGCTGATTCTGAATAGGGGTGGATGGTATGGCCAAATTGAGAAAGACTCAAGTGGCCATGGGGCATAACCTATGGCTCCATTTTCGGGTGGATGAACATCCATTTGCCACCCATTTTGATGTTCACCAGGGGTACGGGGTTTTGATCCACAGCCAAGTGAGTTAGCGGGAAAGTCCAGCTGAAATCATTCGCCTCCGTACCTTGTACCTTGCTGCAGGGAGACCATCCAGAGCTTTGCGATGGAGGCACCGGACAAAAATCACTCACTCATGGAAAGTGAAACAATGCTATGTGGGTTTGGCATTAAAATAGGGGAGGTCTCCAAACGGGTGGTCTACGGCTGGTGTCTTTTGAAACCAACCCCAAAAAGCTAAACAAAGACGAGCCACCCAAATGTATGGTTGTCTCTTTATTTGGAGAGGACATTAGAGGCCTATTGAACTTCTGAGAAGAATCATGTGCGCGGCTACAGGCTGCTCCAAATCCCCCAGAGTAAAAACTGTTCTTGGCCAACGGACACTGGAGTCACAATCAACACCCGGTATTAAAATAGTCGTAATCCCAGAACCGTGCTTCAAGGATTAAGAAGGCGGAATTCACAACTATGTCTGGCTGGGATTGCCCCTTACTAACCTTCATCTACCCGAATCGGTTTTGATTGTGGCTCACTTTGTCATGGAGATAGGGATTGAGCAGAAGCCCTCGCTGATTTGGACGTCCCATTCTCTTGGACTGCTGATATTCCACCCACCCCCCAAATATGTCCGGCAGGTTGAGTACTCCTGGGTTGGTGTTATGCTTTTGGTTCCAAGGTCCTTCGGCGCATGGAAGTCAAATCCGACTCGAAGCTCATGGGCTTGGAATCCCTATCGAGTCATAGGGAACGACTTGACAGTATATAGAGGCCCCTCTTGATGTTGACCCCGATTAATAAACACATGTTTATTAATATGGGGGTGTTCCTGGTTTTTAGTGGAGGGTAACACCCCCGTAATAAGTTAACAGGGGTTTATTAATCCGGGGTCAACATGGTAAGGCTTATATATTGACCATGGCTCCAAGTTGCTCTGATTCGGGTGTGTCTCTGTTTGATGTTTGAGTTGGTTCCTTGTTGAAGTTTCTCAAAAAGCAAACCACCCAAACGCTCCCAACTACTGCCTGGGCCTTCGAAAAGAATATTTGAGGGTTTGGGGTGTCCCTAACAAAGGTCGGACCCTCCCTAGCTTCCTAGGCTCCATGAGCGTCTGGGCAAAGGGAAACCGGCCACGTGGCAAGCATTTACTGACATCAATACAACACAGGTACTATTCGAATTGAACAAAATGCGTCCAATTCGATTTTCCCATCAAATAAAACATGGTTCATCTTGTTCATCTTTAATTATCACATTTAACAAAAAATAATAATGATAAAACTAATAATAATAATAATAATCATACTACTAATAATAATAATAGTAATAATGATAATAATAGTAATGAAAAGCAACACATGATTCATTTGGCAAGCATTCACTTAGAAGGCCCGGTGGAGACAAAAGTCTTTCGGCAGGCGGAGCAGATCCAGCAGTCCACCAAAGTGGAGCTGGAGACCTCCGAGGACGGAGTTTGGTTTCGGCCGTTTGGATGGCCTTTTGGGGGGTTGGTATGAGTAGAGGTCATGTGTTGGGTGTTTTGCGTGTTTTTTTTTTTTTTTTTTTTCCTTTTTTTTTGGGGGGGGGGGGTGTTGTTTGTGTGTTTTTTTTTTTTTTGGGGGGGGGGGGGTGGACCCCTTTTTTTTGGTTGGCTTTGAAGGGAAGCCAAAAGGAACACCGGAGCCATTTTGAAACGGGAGGGTTCGGGAAAAATCCATAGGCGCGTTTCCTTTTAACCTGCCGTTTCAGTGACTTTGGTGCAAGAATGGGCGGTATTTAAAGGGAAGCCCAAAGGACACCGGTGCCATTTTAGGAGATGGCCAGATTATTTTGAGACTCCGAAAGGGAAATCCTCAAGCAAGCCGATGCTGAACCTAGCAAGTGACTCATGGGTAAAAGTCCTGGTTATAGCTCGCTTAAGGTTGAACAGCGCAAAGCTGTCGCCTCATAATTCCAAGTGATCACGTGTACCTGTCGGGGTACGTGGCCCACTTGTGTGACACAAATTGTTCTATATGAGGGCGCGTTCCTCTATGGAACCAAACCCTCATTCCCGCAACACCACGAATTCTACAGCTTAGAAACCCCAAAGACCCACAACCCAAGCGGCTAACAAAGGGGAAGCACATGGCGCACCCTCTCACCATGTCGTGACTCCAGAGACGCCAGCAAGCTGGCAACACACTGGGTATTGAAATGCCGACCCTGGATTAACATGCATGAGCCTGGCGGAGTCTTAGAGAGATGCGTTTGTCACCGAAAGAGCAGGAGTCCCTTTGTAATGGATCGCCCAATTTTGACACTAGTTGGGTCTGGAACCTTCAGGATCGTGTAATTGACGGGGAGGAACCACCCAAATGATTGCTGTTGCTTCCTGGGTTAAGGCAATCCAAATTCTCAACTAAGACAAATCCCCTGTGCTTTTGCAGCCGGGCCCATTTGATGGTTTTGTTTGGGTGTATCAACGAGAGTTATGGGGTGGGGGGGGCTGTGAAGTTAAGTCGCGAATCATTGCGTGGACACATCCAGCCTTTTGGGGTTGCCGTCCCCTAGCTTTTTAGTTTTTAGTGGTTAGTGGTAGAGTCCATTTATCCCACTAAAGGCTTTGAACTTTTAGCACTGGATCTGAGGGCCCAGAACAAAGGGGGACAGAGAGCCATGCATCCGGCTGTAGCTGTGCCTTTTGCCTTGAGCCATTGAATTCTGTGCCAGTGATTCCATAGCCGCGCTCGGCTTGCCAGGACCATACCGTGCAGGCTGAGGAGGCGCGAAAAATGGGGCAAGTCAGAAGGAGACTTATTTTGGGATTTGTTTTGTGCCTTTGAGCAACCCAAAGGCGATGCAAGATGCTTAAATAGCGGCCGAGGTGACCCAGCCTGGTGGGTTTTTCTGTTGTTTCCTAAACCCCAACCACAGTGTTTCCTCACAAAAAAACAGTTCCCCCCCCCCTAAGACCCAGCTTTTGCAACAGTATATCTCCAAAGATCCTTTGTTCCCTTCCCGTTTACCACATCTAGTTTGGTGTTATTGTTTTTTTTCCTCACTTCCACTTGCGTTTCAGGATATCATTCATGTTCTTCGATTTCCATCCGTGTTTTATGTTCCCCTGTTGGTTGCAACGCTCTACCGCAAATGGAGGTTTGTCAGTTTCTCCCCGCACCAAAAGGATTCATTTTGGTGGGGCGGTGTCGCCCATTTCGGGTGATCCAGAAGTGCAAAGCTGCGGTTCCCTGCAGGATTTAGACCCACCACGCGCAACGGTGGTCCTTTTGCGTGCCTTGAAAGCCACCACAAAGAGGCATCGAGGCACCCCCCTCCCTCCCCGAAGCAAAACTAAAGAAAGACAAAGAAGAAGGGACACACCCATGGCCTTGAAAGCAATCGGTTGGGACACAAATTCTTTTAAGACCTGTCAGACCCGGCACCTACGGAGTCTATTTGGCAAGAACCCACTCAATCATTTCATAGTGCACTCCCGGGCTGCAGTGGATCTTCAAACTGTAGGAACATCTCCAGGACATTAGCCAAACACCCACAACAGGGGGATTTGGGTGAAGTTCCCAGAACTTTGCTTCCAGTTTGATAGAATGGAACCACCCTGCGATCTTTGGTTGCAACATTTCGTTTGTTGGCCGTTCACTTGGGATTGCGGGCTTGGCGAATGGGACAGGGCCATTTCATGAATCATGCAGTCGGGGAATCCGGATGTGGCTCTGCCTTAGAGATGACCCATCTGGGTCCCCCAGTAGTGCCCTTTTACCAACTTTTTGGGGGGAGGGTTCCCCTACTAAAATAGACTACAGAAAAAAGTTGGTACCCCTATTCGAACCTCTCATCTGGAGGACCTAGCTATGTTTGGCATGCGGTACAAGCACAGGGCGTGGGTGTCGAACCGCCTTTTGCGGGTCTCATGGGGAAGGTTCGCCTGGAATCTCCTCTGAACCAACAAAAACACCCCAAACAGGGCACCCTTAACAGGAGTAGTCCATATCTCATGCGCGACTTTCTTTTTCCCCTTTCGGCCGGGGAAAGCATGACCTTTCGGGGCCAACTAAGAGTGGGTTTCTGTTCGGGCCGGAGGTTTCGAGTGTCCGAATGTCCGCATCTACCTGAAAAAACGGGTAAGCAAGGGCTTGCCACCCTTTGAAGCCAACAGAAAATGGCGCAGGGTTGGCTGCTAGAATTCGAGCCATGTCCCTTTTTGGGGCCTCAAGTGGCGATCGGTTTGATCAACCGGGGAAATGAATCAAGGGACCGGGGTAGCAAAGTGATGCATAGAGCCCTGGGGTCCGTCCTACCTCGAACCTTCGGATCGTGTCAATTTGGAGCCCTGCATCAAAGAGCTAGGCTCTGCAGCGCGCTGAGGAGTGTCTCGGCCAAAAGCCGCTTCTTCTTTTTTTGGGCTGCGTTGAAGCTATAAAAGTGATGGGGGTTATGCTCACTGGGAGAACTGGCTGGCCGACTTCGAACTATGCTTGCCCTTCAAGTAAGTTGAACCTAGTGGGGCGTGGTTTGGTGCTAACGGTTTTCTGGGAGAAACACGGCCGTGGGTCTAAGCTGAAAGGGGGACGGTTTTTGGGGAAATGGGGGGGGGGTTCTCAGAACGGAGGTCCCCCAAAAATGGTTGGTTTTCTTTTGGCTTCCCTTTGAATACCAACCAGCCGGGCCTGAGTTCATAGGCCCCCGAGCCCGAATTGGAGGACGCCAGAAAAGCTTGAAGGGTTTGGGGGGGGGATTTGGGCTGGAAGTGAAGGATTGGGCGGAAAGGATCTTTCTCTGTGTTTATGTTGGTGCAAGGGAAGGATGACAGGATGGGGGGTTCGCACGCAGAATTCCCGGAAGGGATTGCCCGGCGGCTGGCTCTTCTCCACAGACCTGCCATGGTTTTCCTGATTTGGTGTGGGCTTTGCGATCCAAGAGGGTGAACACTGCATGTCTCAAGCTACGCCAAGGAGTGCCCAGTGATTCCATTTCCCTGTTTCAGGTGGGTAGCCAAGGGAACGAACCTTTTAAGTCAAAAAGGAAAATGGCTGGTTACCTACTACATGTATAGGGAACTTCCACTCGGGTGTGTTTGTTTCTCTTAGAATTCCGCCGGACAGCTTCTGAGTGTCTCCTTTTTGTTTTCGGCTTGCCGTCTAAGGCTTCTGTCAGAGCAGAAGGAGGAGTCCAAGCAATTGGAGGCCTAGAGGGATCCATCGGATCTCTGCGTCCAGACAACAAGTCAGGGAAACCAACCAGCAGGGACACAGGGGGAACCAGTTGGATATGGGAGGATTCCCCCTAAATACACCTTGACTAAGTTTGTGGGAAATGGCCCCAAGAGAATCCCCCCCATATCCCCGCTCCCTCCGTATCCCTGCTTGTTCGCTTGTCCCAGACAAGTGGGGCGATTCCTTGTTCCAATTGCTTTATGGAGGGGATGTCCATTGAAAGATCGGCCACAAAAAGCAGCATGGAACTGAATTCGTTTCGGGGTCTCAGCATATACTAAAAAGGCTGAAATGAACGGATTCGTTTCATTGGGGGTCTAGGAGTGGTTCTTTGGAGACTCTTGATCTTTTTTGAACTGTTTTTAGCTCATTCGTTCGAGGCAGGAATTCTCCGGAGGTTCTTCCAGGGAATCGCCCTGGTGTTGGGTAAATGTGGCCATAAAAAAAGCGAAGCGCGTCAGATTGGTCAGGGTCTGTTGTAGCTTCGGGGTGGAAAGCTGAGCCGAAAGACGTGGGCAACCAAGACCTTCGCTGAAACCAGACTTTGATTTCACACCTGCGCTTACATGAAAATCCATGCAGAGGAGCAGAGGCGCGTGATTTGGGCCTTGGTTCATTTTCCTTGGTGCATTTTGTCAAGGGATGTTCGGACTTCAACCTTTTGCCAACTAATGGGTTTTCCGTATCAATCCACTAACAGTTATTCACAAACTTCTCGCAGTTGGCTTCGCAGACTTTTCGGCCGCCGAGTAGTTTGGTTGGTGTCAGATCCGGACGGCGACCTCCAGCGACCGTCTGACCGTCCACTGCCGCTTGTGATCCAGTGGCTCGCTCACCTCTTGTCTCATCGCAAAGCAAAGCTCGAGGATTTTTTGTTTGACCTGTGTCACCCGAGATATTTTCCTCAAACCCATAGTTGTCCTTTTGATCGGTGAGCCTGGCTAAAAAAATAGATGTGTTCCACTGGTTTGCATGGGGTTTGTTCCATTTGCCAGGGCCATCTATGTTTCCAAAAGGCCACCTATGCTCAAAGTATATTCCCACAAGTGACGACGTCCTATTGCCATGCTGAAGGTCGACAAAAGGGGTCAGTCACTTGACACTGGCCGACTCATCTCACCTCATTTCAAACCAGGAAACTCACCTTTAAACAAACTAGCTCCCCCAGTAGTGCCTTTTACCCTCTTTTGGTTGGGAGGGTTCCCCTACTAAAACCGGCTACAGCAAAAGTTGGTACCCATATTCGAACCTCTCTACTGGAGGACACCGAACATCTCCAAAAAGAACCCGGTGATGTTTTCGCCGCCAGGGGTCAATCCCCAGAATCTCGGGAAACCCATCGCGGCAGGTGAGGATGCGGGAGGAGGCATCCAGAGGCGATCAGAAGTCCGCCATGGATGCCGCTTGGCCGTGTTTTGCGTTGTTGGCGGCCAATAGAAAAATAGAAAAGAAGAAAGAATACGAAGAACACGGGACTATGTGGGGTCTCTAAACAACACGAGGACTATGTGGGCATCTCATTTTGGCTAGCGCCTTGGTACGTGCTGTCTTTTTGTTGAGCCACGCAAAAACATGGGCGTGTGTTTTGTTTTTGAGGCTAGGATCCCGGTGTAGTGTGGTAAAGGGTCGCTTGTCAGGTTCTCGTGTTTGTCACTGTTATGCTATTTTGCTTGTTTGTTTTCCTTGTTTTCCTTGTTTTCCATGTGTTCCTTGTTGGTTGCTTGTTTGTTTGTGTGTTTGCCTGCCTGCCTACCTGCTTGCCTGCATACTTGCGTGCTTGCCTTGCCTCGCTTTGTTTTGCGTTTGATTATTTATGTTGCTTGCTTGCTTGTTTGTTGTTTGTTTGTATGGTTTTCTTGCCTTGACTTGCCTTGATTTGCATTGCTTTGATTTGCTCGCTTGGTTTGTTTGGCTTGTTTTGTTTTTTGTTATCGTGCGTCGATTTTGCTGTGTTGTTGTTTAGTTTGTTATGTTTGTTTGTGTGTTTTGTGTGTGTGTGTGTTGTTGTTTTGCTTGTTTGCTTGTTTGCTTGTTTGCTTGCTTGCTTGCTTGCTTGATTGATTGATTGATTGATTGATTGATTGATTGATTGATTGATTGATTGATTGATTGATTGATTGATTGATTGATTGTGACATCACGTAAACATGGGTTGACATGTTGTCTTGTAGGCCTTGAGTCATATGCGCTGACGAAGCCCGTAGATGGAAAAGGCGTTAGCCCGCCTTAAGAGATTCTACCCACAGTGGTAGCGCGAGCCATGTTTCCGAATCCTGGCCGTGGGCCAGGCGCTGCTTCGCCAACACCGAGGCCGTCCACTGGGACTTTCGCTGGTGGTGCTGGCTCAGGATCTACCATGGATCCGTGGGCGCAGTACCTCGCGGCCAATCGGCAGCAGGGGGACGCGTCAAGCCGAACCCCTGCGCCACAAGGCCCTTGCCAGCCGGGTGGGCCTCCTCAAGGACCCCCTGGCAACTTGGCCTTTGGGCCTCAGCCTCAAGGACTGGCCCCTGGCAACCTTAGTTCTGGAGCCCAATCGCAACATGGAGGTGGGATGCTTGGCTTTCCAGCCAGTGGTGCGTTCCAACATCCGGGACTTTTTCAATTCCCTTGCCCTGCACCACAGCAAGGTCAGCTTCATCACTCAGGTGCAGTACCACCTGGTTTTCCTGGAGGAGCTGATCCGAATGCTGCACCTTCTGGGGTTGCTGGAGGAGCAGGTCTTAATGCCGCACCTCTGGAATCCCTGGAGGAGGTGGATCGACTGCTGGGCTACATGGACCATCTGCTGGAGCTGGTTCCGGATCAACACAGCCCGGAGTGAACGCGGCCACGTTTGCGGCCGCTTTGGACTGATGGGTCCGCTTTCGGCTTTTGAGATGCTGGGAAAGTCGCCACTTCCTGATCGAGCGCATCCTCATGGACATCATCTAGGTCATGACCAGCTCATCGCACAAGCTTTGAGCCAAGCTCTGACGGGCGAACGTCGAACTATCCCAACGTGGAATGGAGCAGCTGCGACTTTGAGATCGTGGCTGAAGCTACTAGCTTTCCAGCTCAAGATCCACAGCTTTCCAGAAGAGGATCTGCGGCATTTGCTGATCGCCGACAGCTCCTTCGACCCAAGTGGCAAGTCAAAGCCACAACATGGGTGGCTGCAAGCCACCACCACGGACCAGCTCAACCTCGGCAAGGCCGCTCCGGTGTCTCTGATCACTTGGAGATCCCGGAAGCTTCGCCGAAAGGCCGGATCTACGAACCTTTGCGAAGCCATCAGCATGTCCACCGCGCTCGGATCCATGGAGAAGCAGGTGGCTATGCTGGAGTCGCTGAGGTTCTCCCGGTACAGTCCAAGGCAACGCTTGGAGATCGAGGACGATGGAGGGCTGCAAGGCGAAGCGTCGGTGATCGCCTCGGAGAATCCAACATTTCGGGACACATCTATGATCGCGGTCATCGATGCCAAGTCAGTCTTCGACTCCGTCAAGAATGAGCAAGCACAAGGAGAAGACGACAGAGCTGCCTTGGAGGTCGCGCTGATCAAGGAGTCGCCCAGCAAAGTGAGGGGTCGCATTAGGTGGGTTCCTCACAACGAGAATCCCGCAGATATGCTGACAAAGGTCAGCGGGGCACATGAAGAGCCCATGATGAGGCTTTTGGCCACGAACACGTGGCGCCTAGAGCAAGAAGAGGAAGTCCTAGCCCAAGGAAGGCAGGGACTTCATCGCCGAAAGACAACTGCCAAACCCACTTCAGTTTTGGGGGTTGACATCACGTAAACATGGGTTGGCATGTTGTCTTGTAGGCCTTGAGTCATATGCGCTGACGCAGCCCGTAGATGGAAAAGGCGTTAGCCCGCCTTAAGAGATTCTACCCACAATTGATTGACTGATTGATTGATTGATTGATTGATTTGATTTGATTTGATTTGATTTGATTTGATTTGATTTGATTGATTGATTGATTGATTGATTGATCTGATTGATTGATTGATTGATTTGATTTGATTCATTGATTGATTGATTGATTGATTGATTGATTGATTGATTGATTGATTGATTGATTGATTGATTGATTGATTGATTGATTGATTGAATAAATCAATTTGATTGATTTAACTCATTTGATTGATTTAATTGATTTGACTGATTGGTTGGTTGCTTGGCTGGTTGTTCTTTTGTTTGTTTGTCGGTCTGTCTTCCCGTCTGTCTTTGTGTCTTTCTGTTTGTCTCTCTTGTTGTGTGTTTTGCTTGTCATGTGTTCTGTTGTTTCTCCGCCGACGACTGATGGGAATCCAAGGTTGACGATTGGGGGATATGCCAGGTTGTTCAAGTCCCGCCGATTTTCAATTTCCAATAGGGCATCCTCAAAAACACACACCCACACACACGCGCACGCACGCACGTACGCACGCACACGCACGTAGACTCATGCATATATTATGTACATTCTAAATTTACTATAATAAATATATATATATATATATAATCCGTTCCCCCTAATGCTAAACGTCCCCCCCCTAATACTAAACGGGTCCCCCGGGGAAAGCCGGTTTTAGTATAAGGGGGTCCCCGGTTCGTTTTCGGAAGGAAACGTACTCCCGGAGCTCCGGCTCGAAAATCGCAACTTTGTAGTACAGCCTAGTAAAGGAAACGTATTCCCGGAGCTCCGGCTCGAAAATCGCAACTTTGGGTCCCCTAATTGGAGTGGATTTGCGTACGCAGGATAATTCCTACTTTAGAATTGGTTTAGCATTGGCTATCTAAAAGTAGTATTCCCGGTTTTGGGAGTCTCCAATACCGGTTTTAGTATTAGGGGACTGTTTAGCATTAGGAAGATGGGATTATATATGCATTTACATACACAAAACACGTACACATACCTACACATTCTATGTATATACAGCATATTTCATATATGGACTACATAGGATGTTGCATTGGGGGGGGTACCCCTCACCCAAGGCCGCGGCCATTGCCGCGGCCCGCGCGCTGCTGGAGCTGGTGCCGTTCAAAGATCCCAGCGCCGCGGCAAAGGTTCTGATCCTATGACTGGTTGGCAAATTCAGCATTCAGCCCGGATGAATCCGCCTGGGCTTTCTGGAGGTGTGATTTGGTTTTCGCCAGTCGTAGAACTGGAACACATCAACTCCTAGATCCCCCAGTGCCCTTTTACTGTTTCTTTTTTGGTTGGGAAGGTTCGGGACCCTACTGAAATAGACTACAGAAAAAAGTTGGTACCTTTATTTTTTACTGGAGGACCTCGCCAAAGAAGTGGTCCTCCAACAGGAGATCCCTCCAGAGATGCTGGCAGGGGAGGAAAGACCATCAATAGCAACATGCCCCAATAGAGACAAGTCCTTCATTAGGGTGATTAGGGGGCGCAATGGGTTTGTTCGTATCTGCCCGAAGTGAGGTTGGCCCGATTTTGGTGCTATGGTCAAGAGCCCAGATTCTTACTTGCTTCAATGTGGACAGACATTTTAACAGACGTTCATGGGTCTGTCTCCTCATTGCTTTGCCAAGTAACCCAGTTCCTTCAAGTCACCCAGGTTCCATTTCCGTGCTGGAGAAGACAAGAATCAGATGGAATTGGGTCCCACACCCCTCTCCCTATAGGTGAGGATTGGAACATGGGATTGTCTCATGTTAAATTTGGGGGCACCCACACCTTGAGCTCGCCTTCAAGTCACCTGTGCTAGTTGGCCCATTCAATTGGATAGTTTCCATTCAAGAAGCCAACTCCGAGTCTCAAAAAGCCCACAAACAAGTACTTTGGGGAAGACTCGTTGAGTGACCGGGTTTTTGGGCATGTCACTTTGGAGTCCCTACAAATGTGTCTTTTTGGCTAGCTTGAACATCACCCGCAGATTGAAATATTCCGGCTGCTAAATGGGCGGCACGAACCCAAAGCCGTGCAGTTGCCATAGAGTGGAGAAAGAATGCAATATCTCAACAGCGGCCTTGGAGACATGTGGGCGATACTCAAGTGTCCAGACTTGAAAAGTTTGGGACGGCCACTTCGATGATGTGACCCATCAGAAGGTTCCTTTGCCCAAACGAGCATGGCTTGCCCTAAAGGAGGGGTCCATTTCCCAAAATCAGCTCCTCCCCAGATTTTGTGGTTTTTGGGACCCCATGGCACCTACCTGACAGGCATTTCCCTAGGCAAAAATTGGACTTTCCAGGTAGCCCGGGCCCTTCAGCCGCGATTCGTTGGAAAGGGCATGGGTCACGGATTTCAAGGAAAGCCTCCGGGGAAAAAAGGAAAACACACAAACATACTGTGGATGGACGGTTTCTGATGGTTACCCTGTAAATGCCAGCAAACAATGGGTTCCCATGGTTTCAAAGTGGTGCAGGATTTCATCCGTCCACAGTATGCTTGCACATTTTAGTGGCAAACGAAAAGGTCAGACCTTTTTGGGCCGATCCGTTCAGGTCGTGAGTACTATGCTGGTGGGAGGAAAGGTATGGCTCGAAGGAAAAAACACAATCCGCGAGTTCACATGATGTCACTTAGTCTCACTCCCTGAGCTCCTGAACTTTAAACTTATTGAGAAGACCATTTTAGTGGTAAACATAAAGTTTGGGCTTTTTTTAGGCCATCCACTCAGCCAGTGAGTAGTGACAAGAGAGCTTCTTTGCCGCTAGGCCAAGGTGTGCCGAAGTGGCAGGAGGCGCCGCCCATTTTCAGCGCCTCTTGGCAGAGCGAGTCGTTTTGGGGGCACCCAGTGTTATTGGCATCCATTTGCTGAGGACATTGTTTGTTTTTCCCTTGCTGGTTTGAAAGGGAATCTATTACTACTGGACACATTTTTTATGTTTTTTCTTTTTCCAGGGATTAAGCAATTGGAAGTTGGGGGCGGGTTAAGAGGCAAACCGCAGGGAAACCAGCTCTGATTTGTTGGAGGCGGGGGTTCCCTGAGCAGACAAACCCACAAGTGTTTTTGGAGGGTACGGGTGGGTGAAAGCACCCCTCCAACAATCATAGCTGACAGGGGGTTGGAAACGGTTGGAAGACCCCACATTCCTTTTGTGAAAGCCCCCGGTTGGTCACTTCCATGAGCACCTTGGAAGCAGGGTAGATGGCATATGTTGCGTATTGTCCTTGTGAAGTGGACTGTAAATGGATGAACGAACCTGCGGAAACCTTCTTATATTCATATATTAGAACTAATGTTGGTTTCAACCCGGAGGCAACGTCGGTTCAGCACTCGTCCCCTTTTTCACCGGCTGAAGAGCAAAAACTGGCGTAAAGTTAATCGGGAGAGTGCACTTTCCTGAGAAAAGAAGGCGGGTCTCAAGACAAGCTCTGCAACTTGCTCAAGAACTTGGCCCTTGGCTGCATTCCCAAACTGCATCCCAAAACGCCATGCTACTTCTCATTTGCCCTGCGTGCTTCCCCAATTATGGGTGGACTCCCCAAAACATGAATGCTTACCATTTGGCTGCATGATTCCCCTAAACATGGCTGATTTGAACACGCTGCTGGAAAATGTGACAAAGACTGTTTGCAAAAGGTCCAAGATGTCACAAAAGTCTCTGAAACTGCAAAGTAACCTCTAAAACGCCACAGCTGTCTACGCGCCGCATTCCAACTAAAATGCTTTGGGTTGCTTGCTAAAGGGTAAGGAACCCTACTTGTACGGGTGGAACAAGAAGAAGAAGGTCAACTGAGGATTACAAACCCCGCGTTTCCTCCTGACCCATCCAAGTAGCCGGACCTCCAGCGGGTGTTTCCATGGTGGGGAAGCTTTAATAAAACAACAAGACAAAAGATACGGAGGTCTGAGGGTCATTCATGAACCTTGGTCAACTTGTTCCGGGCTCAAAGCGGGTTCCACACGTTTCGAACTTGCGGAGCATGTGGGTGGAGCCCAAAGATTTGTGCGTTCCGGGTATGATTCTTTTTAAACCACCTTTGAAACGGGTACCCTCCAAATGCACACACAAATGTGGAAGAAGCATCAATTCGATCTGTTGCCGCCAGGTTTGTCCCAGAAAGCTGGCACACATCGGCGGAATGAACATAGACACCCAAGCAAGAAGCTTTGTACACAACTGCTG